TAGTTAATATAAAAAATGTTTAAAAAGAGGAGAAAAACAATCTTCACCGATAACTTTTACTGCTTTATTGTCACAAGTGGAAGCAGTAAAACGGCAGCCCATCCAAAGTCCGCGGGTTCCTAGCTCTTTAGTGTGTGTTGGTTAAAGTTTGGGAGTTCAATATTTTTAAAGAGAACGAGGAACAAGCATGAAAGAAGAAACGCCCGAGGATTTTGGTATTACATCTAAAAGAGGTGTTGCACATATTTATGCCGATTTTCAGACGGTGATGGGCTGACTCACTCAGACAGTTAAGAGAATATTCCATTTCTCCTTTAACCCAAAAAAGCTACTGTGTTCCAAGTCATCTGAGCACACAGAGTAGGCCTCTCTGTTAGTCCCACCTTTAAAATGGTGAGGTGCTGAGCCCACAGGAGCACTTCAGCCTCAGGTTTGTAGTTTACACTCCCAATGCACCTTCATGTAACGAGTTTAGGCTCCTGCGAAATTGATATCAATTTATGTTTTCTGTATGTCACTGTGAGGCAAATTGTAATTTTTATCTAAAAATTAAATGTTACTTTAATAGATGACATTTTACCAGGTTACATTATTTATGGAGAGCATTTTTGACTTGCTCATTTTATTTATCGTGCAAAAGCATTGAGTCTTTTTTTTTTTTTTTACAATAATAAACCAAAAGCCTCTAACATAAAGAGGATGTGATCCGTGCTGAATATTTGCAATTTAAATTAAATATGGATTACCGGAAAATGATAGCCAAGGGGGATTCTACACAATGATACGTTTCATTTTGTTCAAAACTTCCCGATATGATGGGTTTAATTGGCTCTGATCATTAATTATTACATGTACCGATTCAATGATATTGTATGAATGGACTGAAGAGCATTACTCATTAACTAGTTGTAAAATGAACACATCCCAATTTATTAAAAGTGCTTGGAGCTGGGTTATAGCTAGTTTCTCTATAACTTTCATTGAGAAGAGCACATTTAAGAAATGGCCTATGTTTTACTGTACCAGCAAATGGACATCAAATCTCAAGAATGAGTGATGCAACATGAAGCATTTGCTATTCAAATTTTTTCTCGTAAAAACAGAAATGAGACAGGTCACTTGCTCCTAGACAGCCATTTTCTGATCAGGCTCAACCACCTAACCAATGGATTTAAAATGGATCTAAGCTTCTTGGAAGAGAGTACTTATCAGAATCAGAAATACTTTAATAATCCCATAGGAAAATTACTTATGGTGATTTTAAAGATTTTCTGGGTGACGTGGGGGTGTAGGAGCCCATACCCTGGACAGCGCTCACTTCTAGCCAGACTTAGTAGGTATATGACACATACTGTATCTATCCCACTAAAGAAATGCTGGAAAATTAATGTTAGCAAAATATTCTCACAGAAAAAAGTTTTTTAGAAAGTTACTGTCACCGTTCTCCTTCCAACCTGTTACACAAAGCGTAAACGAAGACAAGACTTCCCACACAAAAACGGCTCAGACCTTGCCCTGGTTGCAGCACAATGGGGAAAGAGACCCGAGACACAGCCAGCGCAGATTCCCAGGAAAACGCCGCCGCCGATACTCTTACGGCGCCCAACAAAGGCGCACAAAGAGACGGGGGCAGTGCCGCCATTCACCGGCAACAAGTGGGCCCAATCCAGCCATCTCACGCACACACCCAAAAGAACACTGAGGCCAGAGGAACGCGCGGCTCGGGTTACCTTTGTACACGCTGGCGAACAGGGTTAATGTTGTCGAATCGGGCCCAGCTGCGTGTCTGCTTGTGGACTTTATGTGCCGGCAACACGATCGTCCCCCCCAATCCGCTCACCCCGAGCCGCAGTGGCCGAGGGTCAGGTGCAGTTCAGCGGTGTTGGTCAGAGGGGCAGAAATCCAGCTGAACTAGAGGGTAAAATACAGTTTTTAGCTAGTCTGACGTCTGCAAAGCTTCTGTAGTGAACTGATGGAAACACATCTCTGACCTGTGGCTGTTAATGTTCAGAAATGTTCAAAGACATTACAAAACTGTGGCTGCTCAACAAAGTTTTCCAGCTGGTATGCAAAACCAGCAATTGGACAAATGTTTAAAAGTTTGAGAGTTCAACTCAGAAGAGCCGAATGAGCAAGATAGGCCCAGAATTGAATAGATTTTCATATCGAATTTAGAGACACAAACACACGGACGGCCATCTCTGATTATCTATCTGTGTTTCTCAGATTTGTGGCTGCAGTGCAGAGGGAGGGCTTCTTGTCACATTTTGACCTTGTACTTTACACAAAAGCGTCATTCTCCACTTTGCAACTAATGTTAAAGCTCATCCCTCTGTGGAGGACAGAGGGACGCGTGTGTGTGTGTGTGTGTAAGATGTACTGTATGAGATTTTAATTGGTTCTTGATGAGAGAGAGAGTGAGAGAGAACAACCCTGGCCTAATGTGCTTCTCTTAATCTGCCTCAGACACAAAACCCACCCACAAGCAGAAGGAATATTCTGATGCTCCACCTTAGCTCAACAGGAGGGGACGTAACTAACTCAGTCCTGTCTAGATATTTCAAATGAGAAAAGGATATATCTGGGGATCTTCTTTGTTTATTAGAAGATGGAGAGAATTACTAAGTTCACCATCTGGGCTAAAACTGAATACTGTTGTAATAACAATGTGTTATTCAGAATGCCCTAGTAATATCTATCATCTATAATCTCCTCTGCTTTAGTCAGGTGTAATGTGTGTTGTGATGTAGCAAACAGACCAACACTCCTGTGATTCACACGATTTCTTTTTGTTTTTTAGCTTTTTTCCCCCCTTTTTTATGTGAAGGCTCAGAGACAAAAACATGACAGTAAAGTTCAAAAGCGTGTGTGTGTCAGTGTGTGTGGGCGTGTGTGTGTGTGTTTTTTTTTGTTCAAACAGCAAATATGAGGTGCCTGAAAACCCAAAGAGGACGGCCCGATGCATTTCTTGTATTCTCCACCAGCTGTTTAAACACACCAGAAAAGTCTATGGGGGTATTTCTGAAGAGACCACCGCCACAAGTGGGGAACGCTGTCCTCACTGTGGCAGCACAAACTTAGATCGTAGCAAGGGAAATAGCCAATGAGGCAGTAAGGAATTAAATGTACCTTAATGCTCATTGGGATTTTTTTTTTAAATAAAATAAGATAAAAAAAACAGTATTGATTACACTAGTTTCTCTGTGGTTTCAGTGGAGGCCAAGAGACATCCCGGCTTTTCTTTCTTCCGGTCAGTGTTCCCATTGTGTGAAACCGGTTAGCTGGTTTAAAACCTGGTTTAAAAACTTTAAAACCTGAGCGTCTGCGCTCTGCTGTGCGCGGCTCAGCGCCGTGCACGTAAGCCACAACAAACCTCGACTTCAGCAACAACGTTACAAAGCTCGGCACGACTTGATTCCTTAAAGGAGATCACCCCATGGCCACTGAGCTAGTCATCACACAAACCAAGGCCGGGAGCACAAAAGCCAGCAGCCAATAGCGTTTGCCGTCAGAGGTGGACTGAGGTGATCATGCAGGTAAGTTTATTAAGTCAATAAGGAGAAACAACAAAGAAACTCTCTTTGGCACTGAGCTGCTTCCCATTAAAGATTAAACCTTTATTGAGAAAATTCCATGTCGGCTTATGGCACAGGCCGCCGTCTCCAACAGGGCTGATTATTGAACTGAACACACACACACACACACACACACGCAGACCCAAAACAGTCGGAGCAATTGGAGCCCCATCGTGAGGCCACATTGATGACGCGTGTTGGATGGGATAATCTCCCCAGCTGTACTCTCACCCACAGAGCAGCGAAGCTCATTTGGCCCCCCCAAAAAACACACTGGGGTTTTTTAGGGGTATTTAAAAAAAATTTTTTCACAGACTAATAAAGCCTATCCTAATCCTTCTGATAAGTTTCAGTTGTTCAAACACCTGTTAGATAACTCAGTCAGATGAGACGATGTTCTCTGGGTTGCTTCAACTAAAGACTGCACCACGTCTTTATTCTTTATTTTTTAATGGTAAGGGAGTCATTCAAGTGTGACTCCTGTATTCTTGTGATCGAGGGGCCAGAAAATTTACTGGAAAAGTTCCCTCCCTGCAGGACTGGGCTTGCTCTGTCCTCTGGAGGGAATGGAAAAACGCTGCCCTCTGTTGGTGAAATACAGATACTGCAACCCAGGTGACTTTATTTCTGACAGCTGGAGAACTATTTAATGGTTTAATTAATCAACCAAGTGCTTAAAGCTGTACTTGGTGTAAAGCTTAGTATCGCTTAGTTTCGTACAACAGTAGGAAGAAACATGGCTTTATGCTCTAAACTTGGTACAGATGTTCAACAGGTGTTTTTCCGGTGTAAACAGGGAGTTTGCGTGGGCAAAACACCTCTTGCAAAGCTCACTCTTACATCTTTTACCAATTAATTACTGTTAGAAAAAGAAGTTGTTTGGTTGAGAGGCAGGACATTTTGGGAGAGGATGTTAGACTCAATATGTGCAGGCATTAAAAAAAACTAGACAAAAACAACATTTAATCTCTGAAACCTAATAAAAGTAACCAGTCACATTAAATAAGTGATATATGAATCTGTATATAAAACCTGCAACTTTGATTGTGAGATCTGCTGAAACTCCAGATTGTGCATACAATTTAATCTATTATAGTTTAGCAAAAGAAGAGGCGATGGAGGGGGGGGGGCATATAGTGGTTTACATTTACTGTATATCTGTCACAGACAGAGGAGTCAGGACTGCTTCATTATCATACTGTTGCCATGGCGGCCCAAACTCAGGACGGGTCGTCGCACTCCTGAACTGAGCCATGCGTGACAGAGAGGTGATGAGAGGCAGGACGCGCTCCAGTTTGCTGACCCGCTGACTGGGCAGAGGAGGACCAAAAGAAAGAGTCGCACAGAAGTTGCGATGCTGGCTTCCCCCCATGTGTAGCGCCTAGTTTTGTTTTTGTTTTGCCCGGGCTGCGTTTCTTTGTGAAGATGAGCGCTGTTTCTGTGGAGAGGGCTCTGAATGACAACGGTAAGACCCGCCATGCAATTTTAAACAGCTCATCATGCTCTATGCAGATTACACTAAGCCGCTGTAGCCTTTTCTTCCAGAGCTGCTCCTCTTAAGTGGACTTGGAGTTTTTTTGTTTTTTTTGTGTCTGCGGAGCTTGAGGAACTGCTTGATGCTCCTTAAATCACTGCTGCTTGATATTCATTCATTTAATCCGTTCTGCACAGACGTGGCCTTTATTGGACGGGCTGCACTTTTCTGATCAGTTCCAACTTTGTGCTTTAATACTGATGAATGCGGCAAAAGTCGATCGCCCTCTCTGTCTTTCCCCCTCTGCAAGCTCCCTTTAATTAAACGAATGCATTCCTAAAGCTCAACTTAGAAGATGCTGCTGAACAATTACGTCATATCTACGTATGGGTACGTACGGGGAGGCAAATCGTCTGGTTTGAACGTGGGCCTGCGGGTTTTAGAGCCTGAAGGCAAATGAAAGTAAGTAAAGGAGATTTCCCCGTGAAGGGATGGAAACGCGTCACGGTGCACAACCCCAGCCAGGATGACTTGAGGCGGATAGAGGGGGAACCTTTGTCCGGGGTCGGAATGAGGGCCATCATTTATTCATGCGCATGTATCCCCGCGGCCGCCTAATTGCGCCACGAGGAGCCCAATTACGCACACGGCGTTACGTTCACTGCCAGGAGAGAGGGGGATCGCGTGTCAGTCACGACTGATTGCGTGCTTCTTATTTACATTTCCAGAACCGGGCTCAGTTCTGCAAACACACGGCGGTTTGAGCCCGGGAACACACTTAAAGTTGCAAAAAGTTCAGAGAAAAGATTGAAAAATCGCTCGCAGTGGTCATTTAACACTCGATTATCACTGCTCTGATCATGGAGGTCATTTCACGCTGGCCGTTGTAACGTGATCGACGGAAACACACACAGACAAACACACTCTGTCTCTCCCTGTCTTCCTGTGTACAGCGGACACCGGCCTGGACGCTGATACGCGCTCTGCCATGGAGAAGGAGGTCATCTCTAACAGGCAGCATTTGAAGACTCTGCTTCCTCTTCCTCATCTCCATCCTCCCTCTCCTTGCCCAGGTGCAACCCAGTCTGGAATCTGAACTCCATCAGAATCATCACCTAACATCACATGGGTTTTTTTTTTGCGTGTCAATCCCTCATCAGATGTTAGAACAGCAGTTGAAACTTAAACTTTAAAACAAAAGGAGAGCTTTTTATTCCAAAGGGAAATTCTCAGAGGCACCCACACACACACGTGCGGCCTCAGGTTGCAGCGGGTTAGGCGAGCTGTGGGCCTCAGACGAGCAGAGCCACACAACAAAGCAAACTGAAACTTTATCCAAAAGTTAGACCTTCAGTCTATTAAGTGCAGCCCTTCGCAGCTCATCAGATATTTTGACATATACTGCTGAAAATGTGCGCATGTGTGGTTAAAATTTTAAAGTTTTAAGGCCCTGACACTGTTAACTTATGGTCAGAGATCCGTTTTACAGAATTTGACAGCCGGTCGTTATCCAAGGTTTTTTTTTTCTTACCCAGACATTATTTCCATGGTCATCCAGCGATTGGCATATTTCTTCTCTCTCTCCCTAACTTCCACTCTGGCATCTGACCGTTCCTCTGTCCTTCCACTGCTCCCCTCCTCAGCGCCTCCCCCGTCGGACCGGGCCTACCTACAGGCGGCAGCCATTTTCCAGCAGCTTCGGGCCGAGAAGCCAGAAACGCAGCAGCTTCTCCGTTACGACAAAAAGGCCGATGCGCCCCTGCCCGAGTGTGGAGACAAAGCCTTACAGGAACAAGCCTATCAACTCGCCTTCAACACGCTCAGATGTAATACTACCCCCCCACACTTTGAAGTGAACCATTTCAAACTAAACGGGGTCCTGATTTCATTCATTTCCATTCAAACATCTTCATCAGTTTGGTGGAAGGAAGGGGGAGATTTACTGTCCTTGGCCATTAACTACAGCCCATAAGAAGCCTTATCTCTTAAATTAACGGCAGCATAGCAGCAGCATCTGTGGACTTTAATATGCCGTTACCTGCAACTCCGGTCTGTAGATTAAATAGAAGGCATTCGTACATTTCACTTCTCCATGCGGCCACACAGTGCTCTGAGCAGGAGTTTCAGCAGGCGTCTGCGTGGGAGCTGATAAGAGATGCTGCAGTATGCGCACACAATCAACCACTTTAGCTCTCAAGAGTGCACAGGGGGCATTTTTACTCCACTGGATCTCTCATGTAGTTAATGGTTTTACTTTAACACAAGAGCAAAAAAAAGAAAAAAATCAAAACATTTCCCCCCCTGATTTACCATGACAAAAGACAAAACAAAACAAAACAAAAAGTCTCTCCACACAATGAAATAAATGTATATATGCCATAGCTGTTGTTAATGGTTTATTTAGTGCTTTAAAGCTGGGATGTATCCATCTAAGTTATCACTAATGATACCTCATTACTTAATATCAAAAGGTCTGCTGCTCTACATATAGTGCTGTGTATTACATACATATATATATATATACACATATATAGATATATGTATGTATGCATGTCTGTTTGTGTGTGTGTGTGTGTGTGTGTGTGCGTATTAAATAGCCATATTGGCATATTGGAAAATGCAATCTAAACACTGGTAAGATACAACATGCAAAAACGAGGCAAAAAAAATCGAATACCCACGACCCATTCAGATCCCTCAGATCTCTTATGTGACCGCCATGACGCTTATTAACTTATTCTTTGTTAACATTATTTTTCTTCTAGATCAAGATTTACTTGAGAACATCATTGCTGACAGCTGTTTCCACACATCTCAGCATATTGTGAGTCCCATTCGTTACAAACTCAAATCTAATTATACACTCAATGGTTTTGACACTGTGTGGGAGTTGTCTGTCTTCCAATGGAGGATTTTTCTTTCTCCTCGTCTGGGTTAGGGAGACGGGGAAGGCTCCGGTTTAAAGACCATTTGTATTCAGATCTGCACAAAGTCTGGCTGGTTATCGTCGACAAGTGATGCATATTACAGAGTGCAAGACACGCTTCCCACTTTCGAGACTGTAAATTACACCATAAAACAGGATGCAACGACACATACATCGACAAAGAGACGCACTCAGCTTGTGTGTAGCCGTGTGTATGTGCGTGTAAATGGCAACTTCATTGAAACTCGGCCAGGATCGTCTGCAAGTGAGACTATAAAAACTACAGCAGATCTCATTATTATTCAACACACATTCACAGTAGCATATACCACCGTCAATGGAAGAAAAGAAAAAAAAAAACAGGCAAATAATTATCAACATTGCAGTGACATCTGATTAAAAAATGATAATTTCATTAGTGACATTTAATATCTATTCTCTGGACAATGGCTTTTTAATGGATAGCATACTGAATTGGACTCTGAAAGTACAATAAGTGTTGATTATCCATCATTGTTAACAGATGGCTTTCAAATATTGCATTGTCTGGCCTTCTAAAATTTGAACTTGTTTAGAGATACTCATAATGTAAAAAAAAAAAGCTCAAATTTGAGGCAAAAGCTAAGCTAATAGGAAACATAGACCAAGAAATGGAAAATAATTAAATTGTAATCCAAAAACTGTCTTTGGCAGTGGAATTCTATCAAAAATAATACATTTCTTCACCATGTTTCACAGTGTGACGACTTGTTGCCGTTGGCGATGGTGATGCTTTTCGACTTCCAGGACAGAAAGTTTCTGCCTTATAAGCGGTCAGCACCAGAGGGGCGGGAGACTGTGAAACTAGTCAGGGACCTGGACAGCAGTCTGCAAAAGTGGGTGTAGTATTCAGGTGTGTGAACACCCACGTGTGGGTGAGGACGGCTCCGATTTGGTGCGATGTGCTCATTGCAGGTGCAAAATCAAGCTGGCGGCATCTCTCGCTCGCTATAGAGTGAAGCAGAACCTGTGGAGCGTGTCCTGCTTTCTGTCCGACTCTGTGAGGACCAAGCACCACAGGGCGAAATGCCTGCCGCTTTACGCCTGGATCAACACCCTCAAGGCAAGGTACAGGCTTCTGTTTCAGCCCTGTCACTTCCACATTGCGTCCTTGTTCAGCTGACATGCGTTCTGAGATCAAACAAACCAGAAAACAGTCGTAGACCGACATACAGTGTAGTTATGTAGCTGCACTAAATGCTGGATGAAAGTATGAAAATTCTAAATTCCCCTGAAATAGATCACATCTTTACCTGTTGTGTACAAGTGCAAGCTGATTGAGCTCTCTAAAGCTCAGAAATACATGAAATAAGACCCCAAAACTAGTTGAGTTCAAGAGCAGATGTTGAGGACAGTGAACAGGGGGAAAATACGAAATAAAGAAGGAGGAAGTCAAAACCATTTCTTTCCTTGACCGTCATGGGGAAGGAGAGATAACGGGCAGTGAAGTCTGGGGCCATGTAGCCAACGTAGCAAGAATATCAAGATGGTAAATCTGTTTGATTCATATAGATATGGTGGAAGGAATTACACCTGGAAAACCCCAGCCAAAGGCTCCAAACAGAGTCATAACAATAAAGAAGGTAGCAAATTGGCTCTTTTTTTTTAACCAAAAAACAGAAAGTAGAATAATGCTCATGTCTCAAAGGGAGCTTCTTTTTTCCTTTACACCCAGAAAGCTCATCTGAAAGCCGTGTGTGTGTGTGTGTGTGTCTGCCATCAGCAGACAGAGTTCTACGGCATTACCTGCTGACGCTGCATGTGGCATCATCCATCATGCCGTCGCTCAGCTGCAGAAACAACAACTTCATCCATGCATGACAGTCTTTGGAGATTAAGCCCTCACCCCTCCCTGTCACTCTGCCTCACTTAACTTTCCAAAGTTTGTTAACCGGCTTTAGTTTGAACTTAATTCGCTTTATCGTCCGAGCATGCCAATAACTTAACCATAAAAAAATAATGTATTCTGCAGCAATATCGCGTCCCCCTTTAGGGATTAATAAAGTACCATTGATTTTAACCGAGTTCCGAAAGGGAAAAGCAGAGCGATAAACGCACAGACGGGGTGGGAGCAGGACGGCAGCTAAACAGGAAGAGGAGCTGAGGAGGCATCCATTCATCGCATTTGGCCCAAGGGCAGAGAAATAATGCTTTTTATGACGTCCACGCATCAGACGAAAAGGTGCAGTTGGGACAAGGCGCAGGGTCTTAAACGTTTAACTCAGCGTTTAACTGAGCAGCACACTGGGCCTTTAGAGGGACAGCTCCTGTTTAAGGGAGTCGCAGAGGGAGTGTAGCAGGCAGTGAAGACCACCGGGGCGGAGAGAAGAAAGGAGGCTGTGAATAGCGCAAGTCTAAAACTTGCCTCCGCTCATGTTGTCGTGAAGCCGTTATGATGCTCAAATAAAAACCAACGACACGCTTTCTTGTCCCCCCCCTCCCTCCTTTCGCAGCGTTGACGAGGTGTGTGAACTTTTACGAGGCGCCGGCTTGAGGGAAGCTGAGAATGTGGCCGACCTGACGGAGGCCGGCTTCTGCAGGGACCCTCTCTGTCCAGACACGCTTGTGTTCTCCCACCGGCTGCGCCCGGTCCTCGAACGCAGCGCCCTCACCACCACACACCTGCTCAACATTCAGGTACCAATAGTCACGTGCAGGGATATAAAGTTCTCCAAATAATCACTTTTGAAGGAGCAAAAATAAAGCTAGGTGATTGCCAACTAACAGCCAACAGCTTTGGCAACATGTAAAGATCAGAGTTTAGCCTTTATCTTTTTTTAAATCACCATTAAATGGGCTTGAGCAACCCAGATGTTTCATTCTTACTCTCAAAGGGGTTGGTTTAACTTGCTTACCCGTGTGTGTGTGTGTGTAAATGAGCATCTCTCTGCAGGACAGGAGTGTGTGCGTTGCAGCGAGCGTGCTGCAGCCCGTGCTGTTTGATAAAGGAGACGTCCTGGTGGCCGGCTCATTCTCAGCTCTGACCGTGGCCCACGTAGCCACCGTGGCCGCGGCCCGCTCGGGCCGAGTGCTGGTGTGCGGCGGCGACCACACGCCTCCACAGCTGGAGGAGATGCAGGAGCTGCGAGCACGAATGGAAATCAAAAGTGAGGGACTCAAAGACCGACACAGAGATCTGCTGGTCTTTCAAGATCTTCGTTTAAAGCCTCAACATGTGCAGGGAGCCAAAATAAGTGAATAGGAGTCATGTTTAACTTTGTTAGCAACACACAAAGTGGTGGAACAGTCCGAATTAACTCTGGATATTAAAGGAAACCAAAGTTCATCAAGGTTTACATCCCTGCATGTTTAAGGAAAAAAATGAAGCCACTTAATGAAAAGAAACGGTGTAATCAATTAATGGATACATGATCATTTGGTTGAAATTTAGCTCGTTCGGGTTGTGCTGTCACGAGAACCAGACCATGCCAGATACACAAAGTGTGAAACACTTACTTACAAAGGCCTTGTAGTAATATGCTGATGAAGTTCTCTAAAGCTTCATTTTGTTGATGCATCGCAGTTGGCAGAGTCTCCAACTCCTGTTTCCTGTCTCTAAAGCCAACTGTTCATTTAGCATTACTGTTTTGAAGCTATTTCTAAGTTTGTCGAGTTTTCTTTAGATGGACTTTTTTATTTCTTAAATTGACTCGGCTTTTAAAGGTCGAGTGGAAAATGAACATCTGTTTAGCACGGACGCAGATGGCGATGTAGAAACTTAAGTTCACGGGACAGGGTCACCTTCTTCTTTGGGGGTATATCAGATAAAAAGGCTTTGGACCCACGGGTGTAGCCTACAGCTTAATGTGTTGCGGGGGATAATGAGGCCTGTAGCTTTACTCGCACTTGATACCCGCATATCATGTTGCCATTTTCCGCTCTATTGTTAGCCTGAAAGTTGCACAACACCCAAATAAACTCTGAACGCTTGAAATATTTAGAAGCCCAGAGCTGCTCGAAGTGTGCACACGGTTAAGTGTTAAATGATAAGTGACTGTGTTTGTGGTCCAACGTAAGAGGAAATTAAAGTGACTGAATCTCTGCTGATTCTCCCAATATGCCTAAAACCAATGCCGTCTACATTTTGTTGTAGATGTGCGAGTCCTGTCGGAAGCCTTCTGCAGCCTGGATGAGTGGCACACCGCCGTCCAGAGGTTAAAGGTCATCATAGTGCTGCCCCGGTGTTCGTCCTCTGCCCTGAATGACCCCGTGGCCACCATCCACAGTGAACATGGAGGTTGGGCATGTTGGACGTGTAATGTTCGGTTTCGGATTAACTTTGCAACGATTTTCACATTAGAATGCCATGAGTTGTGTGTTGTAATTCTCTTTAGAAGGTCCAGCTAATCAGCAGATTTGATAGAAAGCATGTAGAGATGACATAAAGGTCTTATCAGGGCTGAGTGCATACTAAATCCTGATGCCATAATTGGAGGGAGTTCAAGAATGGCAGGAGAACTACAAAAGCCTTAGTCCAAAGGGTGTTTTTAACCTGGTAGAAATCTGGATGGTAGTATAAAATGTCGACGTGCCTGTTAAACTAGACATGTTGAACCCTTTGACAGACTGGGAACTGCTGCCAGATTTGTCTCAAGGATCCGTCTCAAAAAGCAAGCTACTGTCTTTGGCTACCCAGCAGGCTCGACTGCTAGCACACGCTCTCATCTGTGAGTATACATCCCCTCAATGTGCACGAACGCACCCACATTTGAATAGGAGCGACACACATTTCAAACCTCAGTGCAAAATGTCAACAACAAAAAACAGACGGCTCCGCTCTGCAAAGCACGCAAAATACTTTTCGTTTCACATTGGAACAAAAAAAAAAGAAAACAAAGCTGAAAGTGACCTGATTCATGTTTCATAATTTTTCCAGTGAGGTATGCAGACTCTTTCCCCACAGAGTAATGATATTGTAATAGAAGCAGTGGGTTGTCTTTACTGAAATAGACATCTGATTGTGGGAGCATATGTTGCTCTTAAACCTCTAAGAGCCTCTTAGCATTGATGGTGCATTTCCAGATGTGCAATCCACACTACTGAGTGCTGACTGTAAACTGTGAATATAGTTAATCTCTCTACTCTTTGGTCAAGTAGTCAAGTTGTCCATGTTTTGAAAATAATTTTTGTCTGACCACAGTCCCTGATTTTTATTTTCGAAAGATTTTCCACTTCCTTCAAATTCACTTTGAACATTTCCATTCCCCCGCGACCCCATTAGGGAATAAGCGGTTATGAAAATGGATGGATGGCATTTCCATTCCCTGCAGGGGATACATTTCTGGTTTATGAGACATGACAAGATTTTCAATGTTTTTACACTGCATCCCAACCTTTCTGGTTGTCAATAAAATACTTATAAAGGGTTGAAAAACAAACAAACCTATTACTCACCGTATTCTACTTGACATGTATTTGTATTCTAAAATATCAGTACAATGATGAGGAAACTTTTGAGCGTGTTTTGTCCCCCTGTGTTTAATGGGCCAGTCCCAAAGGTCCAGACGGTGGTTTACTGCACACGCTCGGAGTATCCTGAGGAGAATGAACAGCTGGTGGGGAGAGTGTTAGAAAAAACACACACTCACCCCAAACTGCTACCCTTCAGGTACAACACACACGGACACACACACACACACACTGACAGTCGCTGTCTTCATGTTGTCTATTTAAATGAGCGTTCAATTATTCAGCCGGACCATAAATTCCTTTTTCTTTTTTTCTCCTACAAACTTGAACATTTGATGAAGTCATGAACTGTTGAAGCCTCTAAATCTGAGATATAACAGAAAATAGGATCTTTTTAACACCACTGAGGTTACTTTCTAGTACTCAAACTGGATAGTAAAATATTGCTTTGGTAGGATTATTTAAATAAATTGTGAGGGTACTTTTTTTTTTTCTCCACTAAGCAAAAGTTGTCCCTTCTCTCAAACCTGCAAAAACTTAATCACATATGAGGAAATGTTTGACTACGTTATCAGAAGGGAATTGCGTTTTCTGGCTTGGGCCGTAGCTGATGAGTAAATAGCTGTGCACCTTTTTGTGAACTGTATCCTGTGTGAGAGGGAAAGCGAGGCGGTGGGAGGAAGAGTCACCGAGCTGTTGACAATATGAAGGATAAGCCCGCTGTTGCTGTGGAGACGGCAGTTAATCCGACAGCTGGGGTCACGGCGCTGCAGATTTCTCTTTCATACCTGCCGCTCCACAAAAGTCCCTCTCTCCCGACCGTCCATCCTCTCCAAGAAATCTAATTGCAATTGGATCTTGCAGAATATGTTCACATGCATGTACAGTATATAGCTGTGAAAACTAACGCAAAATTGTGTGATCGTCAAAAAAGTGGATGGCACCCTTACTCTTTTTTTGGATATTGTGTGCAGTATACTCCCCGGCTATGGCAGCAGTATTTCTCTGAAATGAGGCGGCAGCATGAATGAAATGTTTTTCTGCGTGCTGCTCTGTGCTGCTCTCTCAGGGTGAACGGTCCAATTTTCCCTGATGAATCCCCGACAGGAGACACAACAAACTCCAAGTTCTTCAGGCTGGAGCCGTGTCAGCTCACCAACGGCTGCTTCATAGCCAGACTGTCCAGGCAGGTGAGAGACGCGGAGGGGCAAGCTGGGGGGGGTGTTGATGTAAGGGGGTGTACTTAAAAATACAGAGGAAACATGTGCTGGAGATTGAAGGGGGGGGTGGAAGCACTCTTTGTGAGGTGCTCGTGCATTTGTGTCGGCGGGAGTGTGCGTTTTTTTTATTACTTTGCAAGCAAGACCTTTCAGAAGTGCTGAGGCGGCACTCTTCGTCTGCTGTGAGGTCAGTCGGCTTGTTCAGGCGGGCACGCTAACGCAATCGCACAGATATGCCCGAGCGTGTGCACGTCTTCCTTTCGAAAAACACTGCACCGCCAGTCCAGCACCGAATGGAAATGTGGCACTGACACATTTCAGCGCTGCAGAGCAGAGACGACTGGATGAATCCGTTATGCCTCCAGAGCTCTTTCCACTCTTGTTGCGTCATCTTCTTTCATTCTTCGTCTTCTCCCCCCCCTCACTCATAAAAGAAAAACAGAAGGAAATTAAATGCAGCTCCTTGAATCACTGCTTCCCTGCAGCTCTAAAAACAAACAGATAAACAAGTGAAGAGAGCCCACGCATGTATTTTTTTGTGGGAATTTTGTTTCAGTAAGGTTCATTTATGCCAGTAAGTTATTCTCTCATAACATGATCATTGATAATTGCTAATGAATATACCTTAATTCGTTTACTTATTATGGTTTGTAATGATTTGTTGGTTAGGACTTGGGTAAAAGCCCTTCGCTTCAGCAGTGGTAGATATAAAATGCCACTGTTCATTGTGACAACGCAGAAAAACTATTTCCAATGCTTGAACATGTATATTTTCTGCAAGCCTTTAGCCGATCATTATTTCTTAAAATTTTTCTTCCAAGGAGCCAGACTTTTGTCGTAGTCTGGAGCGATAGTTTCTGAGAGATGGCTCTTTGTGTTTTTCCCTGGATATGTTTAGAAATAGGAAGAAAAAAAACACATCACGAGACCTTTAAGTTGATCCATTATGTCAGGACGCCAGTCTTAATGAAGGGGAGGAGGCAAAATGATAAGAACTAGACTAAAGATCTCTCATCTTATGGAGTGATAAATGCTTACTTAGATGGCAACATTAAGAACAGAACCAAAGGCACCCAGTTTTTAGAAAATAGTTAGCTTTGGAATGAGAGAGGCCGGAAAAGTTGTTATTTATGAAGAATAACAAAAGAACACACACTTATAAATGTGCATGAAAATATATGTATGACGTTTCTGTGTCAGCTCACTTCGATTGATTTCCCCTCAGCCCTCTCCTGTCGAAACATTAAGAGAGGGAGTTTAAGACTTGCTCATTTCAACCCCAGATCCCTCTGACTGGCAGCATCACATACGAGTTTACAGCTGAGGTGGAAGCAGACCTTGGTGAAAGAAAGAGACACATTTCTTCAAGGAAAATATCAATTTAAAAAAAAAAACATTAGAAAACACATTGGTATTTGGGGGGATGGCCAGCAGAAGACCCCAATGAGTGAATCAGCAAACGGGACAGTGAGAATATTGAGGTCTGTGTAATGGAGTTTAGAGAAGCAAAGCCGGGTTTGATGTTGTGGAACCTCTCGATTTTGAAAATATCGACACCTATTTGAGGAGAAAAGCTTGCCGGAGGCAGCATTTCGGCAGAGCGGCTTTTATGCACAATTAGAGGTAGTGGCTGTGGCTCAGGCACAGACGAGCAGATTTTATGTACCGCGGCACAGAATTCACAACTAAAAGCACACACAAGCTTCCTGAAGCGGTCGGCAGATTGTTCTTTACTTCCACCTCCCGTTTTCTGGATTTGAATCTCATTGAGAAGCTCGGATGGTTTTAAAAGTGGCTGCAAGATATACAAAGTGTACTTGGTGAGCTGAAGTATGAAGGACAGTCACAAACTCCAAGAGACAGGCACGAGGACCATTTAGGACAACAGGGAAAATGAGAGAATCTGTTTGTTTACTGGAGACCCCCCCGGCTGGGATTTGATTTATTTTCACTGTGCAGGTCTTTCGAACTAGACATGGGTACACTGGAGAATTTCCTGCTGTCTCACTCCTCCAGCTTAGCAAGGAAATACTTTTTTTTTTTTAAAGTCTGACCGCGTTGACATTCAGTCTCACGTGATATCTGTGCCTATGAACATAACTGGTTTTTAATAAAAGACTATAAACTGATGTTTTTTAGCCAAATTCTAACCATGTGTTCCCCATGATGAAGATCAGACAGCTAAGGTGGTGTCAGGGGTTTTCCCAGTTTTAACGAAAATCCACTTTAACAATATTTAACCAGATCTAGAAGGACAAAAAAAAGAGTAGGTTACTGACAGTAAACAGTAGTATTGATATTCATTTGGAAAAGTCATGTGCCACATTTAATGGCAAATGGGCATGAAGGGATTTTTGTTAGCTTTTTAGAGTCGTGAAAAAAGGAATTTCTGACCAATATCTGACTAAATCTGGTTCATCACACTCAGACTAACAAGAGCCAGACATTGCTGTTGGGGTCTGACTCATTACAGATTTAGTAAATATTAATTTCTTCCAATAGAACTGTAAATCAAGTCATTTTCAGATCACTTCAGTGCAACTCTTCCAAACTGCACAGAGTAGTCTGATCTCAAAATATGATTGGGTCACTCCACGCCCTCAGATGACCCTCTTTTAACAGAGAAGTACATTAGCTGTGCTGTCTCTCTGACTAAAGGTGTGATGAAAAATTATGTTGACTTCAGGAAAAGGGAAAAACGTTTAGAATGAAGTGTGCACTTGTGATGGTAGAGTATCCAGCGTGTACAGCTTGGAATAATTTCACTAAACGCGTTCACAGATTAGATGTAGACCATTCCTGACTGGGAATTCTCTCCTCTGACATTTAAGATCCAAAAAGTTATGAGCCAACGCACAGGCCCAGAGCTCTTAAACAAAGGGCATTTTCCCCCCTATTGAGATATGACAGAAGCTATCAAACTGCTCTTTTCTTTCACCATGAGTTAAAGACCCTGACTCAAAACACCCAGTTCACCCCTCTCCTCCAGATAAATCTGACTCCTGTGTAATCCGAACAACACAACAATCCCCGAGGTGCATTATCATGTTATGACAGTCTGAATACAGTGGCCCAACATGAGCAGATACAGTAAATCAAGCTCAGGCTACCACAGCCCCCCCTCCACCGTAAGGGAGAATAACTGACAGGATATTGTCCGCTATTGGAAAAAGGAAGTGCTCTGTTTGAGTCCCAAAGAATCAAAATGCTGATGGTCAACATGAAAATGGTCGTCACTCTGAGCACAGCACACCTGACATCAGCATCGACTCCAAGATATTGTCTAACAGACCTGTATACAATTAATTTTCATATCCCTTTATTTATTTATTTTTCAGGCTGACCCCACTAAGGTGGAAACAGTCCAGGATGTCCTGGCCAGGGCAGCAGCCAAGGGCCTCCTTGGCAATATCATCCCTGAGCCGTCGAAAAACGGTAAAAAGGGAAAAGGAAAGAAGAATCAAACTACATCATCAAGCAAACCTCCGTCCCCCTCCGGCCAGGAGGGACTGGCCGAGCCGGAGCCTGAAAACGGACGAGGTTCAGCGACCCCTTCGAAAGATGAAGAAGAGAGAGGCGATGACAGGGAGGAGGCGGCGGGCGAGGAGGTGAGCGGCGCCGGGGGGGCGAAGAAGAAGAGGAGAAAGCGGAAAAAGCATCCGAAACAAACCAAAAGCAATTCCACCGGCCAGAAGGTCCAGCCGACAGGCCGCAGGAAGAAGCCGGCGGCGAAAAAGGCCAACCCTTCGCATCACAGGGGGCAGCAGATGAGGAGCAAACCCAGACGAATACCCCGCCTCACGCTCTCCTTAATGTCGGCGGCTAAACCCTCCAGCCACTTGTCTCCAATCACGGCCGTGGCGCACAAGATCAGCGGCAGTCCGGCCGTCAAATCGGAGCCCCCGCCAAACTCCAAAAAGCACCCCGGGCCGGCCCCCCCTTCCGCCCCTGGTTCTCCACACGTGGCCGCCAGGAGAACAGTGGCGCCCGTCGCTAAACAGCCCAGACAGGTGGAAAGACCAAGGAACGTGGTGAGAAAGCAGGAAGTGACCAAGACAGGCGACCGGATCCTGCCGCCCATTTCCCCCCGTTCTCCGAGCGCCTCACGCAGGAGAATTCACGGTTCGGCCTCTCAGGCCTCCGGCTCTTAGCGGGTCAACCTGTCACTGCCAAGCGTCCCATCTGTGGCACAAGCAGGCAGTATCACAGCTCGATTTATTTGCCGTTGGAAAAATCTTTATTCTTAACTTTTCGTTTTGTCTCCTTTGAGAAGAGCTTGCATTTATATGTAAATTCGAGCCAGCGGTGTCGGATTTTCTGCAGATTATACAGTATATTCATGATAAAAATGTCACAAAAGTCATTTAACAAACTGACAAATGTTAATATTGATACTTATTTTTTTCGTATTTGAGCAACAATCTAAAAATCTCATTTTATTTATTTATTTAGTCAACTGAGATTGTGTCATAATATGCATATCAGCACAGAAATCTTACCAGTGAATTATGTTATGGTCGCTATTATTGTCAGTACCCGCATGTGCCGACTTCTTGGAAACGGTTCAAATAAAAATATGCATCCTCAGAAAATCTTTAATGAAAATACTTCTGTCTACGATATCAACTTGACAAAAAAGGCAACATTTGTCAGATTTTTGTCAAAGTTGGTGCTTTAGATACTTACATTGGTTGGATTGTATTAGGCTGCGCACAAACTATCATCCCCCTATTTATGCACATAAATACCATTTTTGGCAAATATGAAAGAAACGGCTATAAGGAATTGTAGGATTGTATAGTGTATCTTTTTCTGAATGAAATCTAAAAAATAAGTCCTATACTAGTAACGTATGGCCCATCGTGGCCTTCAATTCGCTCAGTTGGGAAGATCCCAGAGGTAAAGAGATTATTGCACAGAAAGTTGAGCAAACCAATTTGCTCATCGGGATATCAACTGAAAATTAGTTGCAAATATTTAGACCTTCTGTTCTGGATCTTTGGGCCGTTTAGAATCGCTTAATGCATAACGTCAAGCTCTACGGCGCGTTAGGTGAAAAATTCAGAGGTGGGTTATTTCGGCTCAGTGAGTCTGACAGACCTGACAGTGAGGATGCGACGACACGGAGCCCAGATGCTGGAGACATCCCTGACAGACGTCAGCACAAACGCCTGAGGACAAAGCGGTACAGGTTGAGACGACTCCCCAGGCTGCTGGAGGAGGAAAATCTAAGCATGATGAAGATGAAAAGAGCGCTGTCAAAGTCTGAACAACAAAAAAGAACAAAACAAAGAATCTCAGCAGGAAAAGGTGCGCCCACATTGTTCTTTTTTAAGCTTTATCTTCTTGCAATTTAGCTATTCTTTGAAGTAGATCAACGGGTAAAACTTCTCTCCAATTTGTGTACGGTGTGGACAACAAATTCCTTCCTGCTCATCCATTTGCGTTGTCATTTGTTTCTCAGCATCTCCTGTAGATGAAGTATTGGTTTGTGGGTTTGTGTTTCTGTTGGAGTCATTAAACAAACAGGCAGACGCTGGCTCACGCCAGAATCCTGCATGAGATTAAATCACAAACATTACATACACACACACGCAGAGCCGCCCAGTGTATTTTATAATGCCGTTTATTCTCACAATTGGTTACATCGATAAAGTGTACAAATCAGTGAGCAGCAAATGGAAGCCAACACGTCCATTTGTGGTAAATGGAGTGCCTGTGCGTGTGTTGGTTGTTTAAATGTGAGCTTGACGGGACCGCCGGGGGTCCACTGCCACCCTCTCTCTTCCCCTCATCCTCCACTGACCGCTCGGGCCGGCGGTGGACCCCCAGCTCCAAGTGAGTTCTGTACAAGGTGAGGATATATTTATTTCTCCTGTCTGCTCTTTTTGTTCTGCAAAGCTCGTTGTAGCGTCAACCAGGGACTGAGACCACGACGTCAAGAGACTTTCCTTGCCCCAACTAATAAAGTCAGTATATACCTTTATAAAATAGAATAAATAAAATAAAAAATATTTCTGTTCAATACATACAGCCTCTGTTTCGACCACCGGCAGGCATGCAAGGCTTTTTTTCCCCGACTTTCCTTTTTCTCCAGAACCAAAGAATGCATAGATAATTGCACAGTTAAATTCAGTATCCACTTAGGTGGCAACCAGGAGATGTTCCAGTTGCCTCTACTGTTTTCATTATTTGCTCTCCTACTCTTCTTATCTACAATAAAGTTTATAGTATATTACACTTTGGCCATTTGCTAAGGATAAAAAAGGCAATTCATAATGAGAAATAAGAGAAAAATGAAGACATTCAAAAATGAAAAAAGGTAGCTTATAACAACGAGAAATTCCAAAATGATACACTTAATGGGTATTTATGAACGCAGATGCCGTCGTCTCATTCACATTTCAACATCCTCGCGAAACAGGAAGTGATGGGACTGAATTCTCTCATCGCAGTCACGTTTCAACAAGCGAATGCTTGATCTTCTCTCAAACATCCGGCAAATCGTTTTCCACACAGTGCATCTCAATTAGGCACAAAAATACTGGAAGAAGTGTCACATAATTACATTTATAGTAGTTTTTTTTCTTTTAAATGAATCAATAAAAAAGGGAGGTGGGGAGGGTATAAACCATGAAATCCATTAGAACCAGTTATCCACAGCGACTAAGTTTTAAACCTCTGGAAACAGATCTTTGTTCTCTCTTTACTTATCCATTATGCAGTTCAACTGTTCTCCACACCCGCTTTATTAGAATTTCCAGGTTTGCAGAGGGCCGACACAGGTCGTGCATAACTCCAGAAAACATGCAGACTCCACACACCGGGCGTCGGACAGGACACCCGAACAAGGCTGATTTTCCTTCCGATGTTCTTCTAGTGTTACCAAACCTCTCTGTAGACATAGCTTCAGAGACTATCAAAGCCCTGCTTCTTCAAATAGACAGTAAAAGGTCAACAGTTCCCGTGGAGTTCTGCGCCTCTGGCCACAGAAGTGTAGCGATTTCACCGATAAGCCCCGACTTATTAAATAGCTCCAGTGGAGCCTTACACAGCATGTGTTTAATCCTTAGGTCGGACGCGGTTCATCGTGTTGTTCCATTGTGCATCGAGTCTCTGAAACGAGCTAAAACTACTTCAAGCAAGTTCATTTTTTTTATAGGTTTTACACTTTCCAATCTCCTTCTTTTTCTCCTTTTAAATACCAAATCACATACAGTTGCTGGGCATCTGGAAACTGAAATACTGTCCTGGCCCGGACTGTTTGTCTAGGTTCTCCATGTTTCCTAGATTTTTTTTTTTAATATCTCTAAGATTTCAACAAGATTTGATGACAGCAATCACAGTTATCAACACTAACAACACTAGGAGGGAAATGTTTTCTCGACTTGAAACAAATAACTTCCTTTGTCGCAACTGTGGATTTAACCTTGATCGATATGTGGTCATTCAGAGCTTGTTGTGGCGATTTGAGATTTGTCTGAGGGACTTCTCACAACAGGCCATAAGTGAGTGTGACCTGTGGCGCAGGCGAAAACAAACAAACAAAATGGAGTTTAAGATGCAGGAAAGCGCGTTCAAGTGAGAAGAACCTTGGAGAGGCGCAGCAGCCCGGGAGAGTCCTGCGAGGTTCAGTCCATGCTTCTCTTTCTCCGCTTTTTCTCTCTAAAACAACCGAGCCTGATGGCAAAAATGGCTTCCTCGATTTCTAAGATATAGACAAAGACAAAAAAAAAAACTACTTCCAAACCCAGGTATAAAAACACATTCCTCAAGTCTCCTCTCTCTTTCCGCAGGCAATCCTCTTTTATTAGTGGACATGGAGTCTCTGAGGACCAATACTGTGATGGGATTTAAAGGAATAATCATTCAAATTTCCTCCAGCATGTGCATGGAGGAGCAGCAGCAGCAGGCGGATGTGTCCTGCATGTGGAGCGGTGGTGTAGGACTGCTTAGCAGAGAGGGGGAGAAGAAGCTGGTGGTGAACGCTGCCCGGTATTGTGTCTCTATCCCTCTGTGGCTCGCCTGCCGTTTTTCCGAAGGTCGAAAATACAAAAAAAAGGAGGCAAACAGGAAGGACGTGAAAAATGTTTCGGGTGAAACGTCACCGCTCGTTCTGACCCTCCGGGGCTGACTCTTATGCAAACGACTACGAGGACGAGAGAAGGAATCGGCGTGACCGGCTGATTGCTCGTCCCTTCAGTCTCTGGAAGCAGCAGCAGTGTTTTGATGTCGCTTAGAATGGCTCACATTTAGATTCAAAAGTTCATGCAGGAGGAGGTGAACAGGTTCGAGGGGGCGGGCCGACAAATCTCACAGGTCTGTAGCAGCTTCTGTCGCTCTTCCACTCGTGACTCTTCGTCAATGTGGCAAACAGAACGGGATGGCTTTTGGTTACCCCTTTTTCTTTAGCGGTCAAGTTCAAGTCTACGAAGGGTAGGGAGGGGGAGGTCCCGAGGCGGGAGGTAAGCCACTGCAGACGAACAGGACGACCGGGTGATGGTGGGAGGAGGGGGGGGTTAGACCTGTGGTGGAAGGTCATGCTGGCAGCACAGACGCAGTACACAAAGAGCGTGGAGAGATCAACAATGAGACCAGCAGAGAGCTCACTCTCACCAGCCACGCTTTAAGGTGCACTTCCTACTTCAGTTTTTGGCTCTCTTTTCCTTACTCTGTGCCGAGGGGGGGATGAGAGTTACTTCTATGTACACCGCCGTCTTGGTGACAGCCACACAGCCGTTCCTCCTGGCTGCTCAATCCTTCTGTGGGGAAGCCAGTCTGGACTCTTCTCGGGAGTCGAACAGCGGCTCAAGAGCTGATCGAAAAAATCCAAACCGCTCCCATCAAACGCTGTTACACGTTTCCCCGAACCCTGGGGCTTTGCTGTTCTTTTTTTTTTTTCTCAATGACTGCTGGGGGGCGGGCGGGGTGGGGGTTCTGTGGCGGTGATGGGTTGTTTGCGGGTGATGCGAGGAGTTACCACGGTGATGAGGAGCGGCTACTGTGGCAGCTCCGTGACGGGCCGCTTCTGTTTGAGAGTGTCAATGAGAGACAGAACGCCTCGCTTCACGCTGGTGGAGACCCGCCGGGAGACGGAGTCCCCGGGGGGCGAGGAGCCGCTGGCTTTCTGGGAGGGCGGTCGAGCCACCAGACACTTCTGATACCGCAGCTGAGAGACAGAGAGGGAGGGAGGGAGGGAGGGAGGGAGGGAGGCAGGCAGGGGTGGGTGGCAAGACAAAGAGACACACTGTAAATAACAGAGAGTTACAGCTGCTGAGTGTACGTCTGTGGAGGGGCGCGAGTGGGAGAAGGAGGGAGGGAGGCTGAACTGGTGCAGGATGCTGGCTGGGATCAATAGTGATGACTGATGATTCGGGCCGCCGTCAATCAGGTTCTGTGCGCATGTGTGCGCGTGTGTGTTCTCGTGATCATATATCCAAAGTTTAGATGTGTGATCAATAGCCCGACCTGTAGTCAACCTGATGCCGTAAGTCACACGGCAGAGAGGAGGAGAGAACACGGCCTTCTCTGATGGGCTACTTTGTGGCAAAAGCACTGCAGATGCTTTTTCTGGCCCTAATAAAGGCCTAAATGCTAAATAGAGTCAGACAAATGATCCCAAACACCTGTGTGTTTGCACAGTTTTCTAGTACTTATAATTCCACTCATGAACACGTGCTCACGTGAAGTTTTCACAGCTAACTGAACACCTTCAACTTAGTATGAATCTGCATCAACGACTAACATTCCACTATCTATTCGCTCAACCAATCAGATTTAGTTTAGTGTAGCATGTCTGAGTTTAGGAGACGGTGCTTTGGACTCACCATACAAGCTGCCTGCACGGCCTCAGACACACTCCCAGCGTTGGGCTCGCACCAGAGGACATGACAGTCAAAACGGTGACCACCGGCATCCATGATAAAAGCAAAGGTGTGCACGTCACGGCCAACGCCCATGAAAGACAGGAAGCGAACACGGCACTCCACCAGCACTTCCTCTTCATCCTGGTCGGGCACAAAAAGGGGAAAAATGTCACTGGTGTGTAACTTTTATGCGTCTAATTTGTTGAAATAAAAGAGCATCGCAGTGGAAAGGGACCATTTGGCTGAAGTAGCTACATTTAGGAAACATAAAGAGGGAAGCTGGTCCGTAAAAGTCCCAGCAGCCTCAGTTCTGTCTGTGACACAGCTGGAGCAGCTGGCGTGGAAGTGCCTTGTTACCAAAGCTACAACTTGTTCTTGGGAAAACAAACACAAACTGTGCCTCATCTGCATGGTGAGCGATATTAGGAGCAGACTTAATATGTACTTTTCTTCACAAAATGACACGAAAAAACTAGTTCTGTGTCAAACAAGAGAGAATCGAATCAACTCTCGTGCCTTTTGGCACAGTTATCCCTTTTTCACTCAGGGTCTGTAGCGACACACGGTAGGCCCCCTAAACAAGGTGATAAAACAACCTCAACTATCCCTCAGATGCTATTCCGTCTCTGATTAAGTTGGTGAGGTGGACGGGGAAGCGGGGGGTGTGTCTGACCTCTTCTTTGCTAATGGTGACTGTGGCATCTGCCACATTAAGGGCCACTGGAGTCCAGTCCTCTTTGTTGGAAGAGCCAATCAGACTGTCTATGGCTCCATTCAGGATATCCATGCCTGAAGGGGGGAAAAGAAACATTTAAAAGGAACACATTAAGAGAAATAATCTACTTTTTTCCCTTAAATGTACATTTGTATTTGTGTTTGGGGGGGAGGTGGGGTTAATACTGACCTATTGGTCTGGCCACAGGCAACATTCCAAGGTATAGCACCTGAAATTTCTGAACCAGCTCCGTCTTTGGTGTGGGGAATTCTGCAAAGAGGAAGTCGATGGAAAACTGAGGAAGTGCACAAACCGCTTCCTTTTTTCCGCATACAATTCCGGATTTTATCGCAGTACACACAAATCACAGAGCAGCTTACTTCCATTTTGCATGATGTCAGCGTCACGAGCAAAGCTCTACGCAAGGAAAAAGATGCTAACAAACTCAGTAGAAACAGCATGAGGAACACTTTGAATGCTGGCAATATTTTTGAAGGCTACAAGAATATTCTTCAACAAGCGAGAAATCAGTTACAAAAGGTTTGTAAAGTTTAGTACATCATGAGTATAAAGACAGCAGAATTGTCATCAGCTTCCATTAAAAAGTTTCTTTAATACGCGCAATAAAGTTTAATGTGGTGAAATGAGGTTAGCAGACAGTTTATTGACCCCTCTTCAAAAGGTCCTGACTTTTAGCTCATCTGGAGTACATATGGAGCTGTTGGGTTTGTGGTGTGGCTTGACCTGCTTTTAGCCAAGTATTATGTCTCACATTCGAGTCTGAAGACTTTGTTTCATAGACGAGCTTGTTGTGTCCAGGCCGTGTCTGCAGAACAAGATCGAACACGTAGCCCTTCAACAGCATTTTCGTATGCTGTGTCTGGTTTTGCCACAGAGCTGTGGAGCTACGATCACATTCTGCCAGAGAAGAGCCCTCTCCTCACATTACAGCCTTTTTTAACCAACTATTCTCATTGCACAGCCTGAGGCGTCCACTGCTTTGAAGTCCGCTTTGAATTCTGAATGTTTTCCACTTCGAAGAATGAAAATGTTCTTCTTTGATTTATTACAGCAATTGCTGATATCCATTTTTTTATTTTGACATTTGCGTGAATACTCATTTGAACGCGCCAGATGAGGAAAATTATCGCAATTATTTTATTTGAGGTGTTCTCATTTGCTGATGATCATTCAAAGTCAGCGTGTTTTATGTCTACCATTGTCGACATAGAAATTACCCTGTTGTGTTCGCCATTAATATGCCATCCGAAGGAAATGTTATTATTAAAGGCAGCAGCTGGCCATTAACAGATATATATGCATGATTGAAGCATTACTCTGTTTAACAGTCCTCTCGTATACAGCCTATAGAAAACACTGGAAAGTGCATCGTGGCTTGAAACTTGACAGAGTAGAGGTGAGCTGACCAACACCAGTAGATCATGTTTTGTACAACACGCAAACAAATGGAAAACTGGGGCACTTGTAGGTCGCCACCATTTGTCTTATGGTGGATAACTGTAGATTTCACACTTTCCTGCAGATGGCAATGAGCCAACGTGAGGAGAAAAAAGGTGGAAATTATGGTTAAACTTTTGTGAACAGCTTTGTTTGACTGGAAAGCACCAATGGGTGTCTTTCATAACTTGGATTATCGCAAAATCAATCTTGAAAACTGTGTTAGGCTCCGTAATTGAACTCCCAACTTGCTGTTATTGAAGAATTTCAAGAATGAATAGACAAAAACGGTTCTTGGGAGACTATGAGGCATCTACATGCCACATTCATGCACACACACACACACTCATGCAGTGAGTTGATATATGGACAGGTATGAAACCTACCTTGTAGGGGAAGATCCAGTCCTGCCTGCATCCTGTCCTGCAGAGAACCTCCTGCCATTGCTTTTGCATTCTTTCGTTCAGTCATTATCTGTGGGAAAGAAAGGGAACACATAGAAAAGGAATAATAAGAAAATCTAGCAGAATTGATATGGCATGGTAGAGATACGGAGGAGGAGAGTGAAAGAGCGAAGATAAGAATGTGTGAATAAAGAGGGAGGCAGAAGCATAGAAACTATTTATACAAAAGAGCTCCTGGAAACCAAGAGCAGATTTGCTCTGAATACTGTCATACTGTGAACCAATTTCACCTGTAGAGCACAGATATAAACGCGTTTAGAAGCCTGGGGACACTAGGTCTTCTAACCACAACAAAGGCTTTTCAAGTAGTGAAGCTCAAACAGAGACACAGAACAGAACAGACCGACAAGCCATTCATACCATTCACTCTCACAAGCCTGGAAACACTACACTTACTTTAGATATATCCTTGGTAGAGAGTTTGTCCCAGCCAAACTGCATGAAACTTGTGAAACTGTAATCAATTCTACACCTTTCTGTTATTCTATTCTTTTGTGTGATGAGTCTGAATAGGTTTGTTTTATATTTGGCTGAAGAGCACTGAAATCAATGCAGCTAGTATAAATGGAGAAAACTAAACAAAATAAAACAACATGGAATCTTTCCCAACCCAAAATCAAAGCTCTCCCACTCAATTTGCAGAGACAAAAAGAAAGTCTGTCTACACAATGTTTACAGTAGCTTTAATAAAGGAAAGGTCTCTTTGAATGCTGGTCTCCAGCCCTGTTTTAAATGAAAACGTATGGGTGGTCTGATTATGTGATATTAAACCTGACGAAGCACTCAACTGTCATGTCTTTTCATTTCCCTGGCAACGACAGCATGAAGCTGTTCTTGAACATGAACATGGTTATTTTTGCCTTTACAGATGGAGGTCAGTTTGTTTGTATTTAAGAAAAGGCATTCAAACTGTTGAAAACCATTCCTAAACATGCTTGAGTCTTCTTTTTCATTTATTCTTTACAAAAGCAGACCTTGAACAACTCACCCGGGAGCAGATCTCATGCAGGCTGGTAGCGATGGCTTTGGCTGGTGTGTCACAGCGGAACACATGACATTTCAGGATCCTGGTGTTTTTATCCCTCGCCACGTACGCAAAGTCTCTACACAGACGAAAAACAGAAAATGTCAAACTAATGAGAAAAATTATGTATTGGACTTATTCTTGTCAAATTACTGAGTCTGGAAAACTGGATTATGGAGTCGTCTTTCATAGTCATGAGGCGTTTATGTCCACTTTTGACACATACAGGTCTTCAGGACAGATGAAGTGACCTTTATTAGAGTGATGAATACAAAAACACGCAAAGACACACAAAAGCTGATGGACCCCTGAGATCAGAAGAGCGGCAGGGTGAAAGATGAGCTGAATAGAGTGACTGCAGGACAGAGAATCCCACTGAGCCCACTGGAGCCTAAAACAATCTAACTCCTCTGAACATATATATAGAGGAGCACAGAAAACCAGCAGAATATTTTGAGGTAGAGATATTGCTGCATTAAATTAAACCGAGGCAACAAACACGCTTGTGATTTAAGTTGCTCAAAAATGAACATAAACCTCCAGACAACGTCCTTCAGCTGCTGAAGAAATATTCCTATTCCTCCATGAATGCGTGCACATGCACTCTTAAATCAAAAACAGACAGACAAAAAAATAGAAAAGGGTTGTAGACATGGGGAGGGTCACCTTCATTCCTGACATTTCTGTAACAGCGTGCGCAGAAGTACATTTATCTAAGTCCCTCTCTAAAGATGAGAAGAATGAGGCACAGAGGAAATGAAAGAATAAATAAATGACAGACTCTGGAGGAGGTTCGTCGTGGGCAAGGAATGTCTTTACCTCTCTCTGTATCCATGGAGGCATGGGAAGAAAAGAGTGCAGTTAATAGATTAAAAGGAAAAAAACTGGCCTGACTTTACATCTGCAGTGAAAAAAACAAGTCAGAAGTTGTGAAGACACCTTTCAGATAGATACATTAAAAAATATGAGTGACATTTTTACCTCTTTTTCTTTACTTATTCAAAATAAACTGAACCATCTTACGGTACTATTTTAAAAGTTTTAGTGCTATATGTATAGGTTTAAGTGTCCTGTGTGGGAGTTAAGTTCGAACTGATTCAACAGTATCGTTAAAAACTTACAAGACATGGATAAAAGCATGAAGCATGAGGACAGAAAGGAAAAAAAAAATACCAGAGAGCAGATCAAAGCCAAAACAACCCGAGGAATAAAAATGCAGAGCAGTGGGGGAGATCTTTCATTGCGTGCATGATCGTTTCATACCGACACCCCGGCAAATGTCAAGGTTGCTGTGGGGACCTGTATTCTCCGTGGTGATAATGAGTTTTCAGGCATATGAAGAGAGGGAAAGGCACTGGGGTGCTGTCTGTGTGCTGACACAGACAGTCTTTCAGAGGGATGTAAAAGTGTGCGAGTGTGTGTGACAGATAGTGAGCGATAGAGGGGAAAATCACTGCACCAGCCAGGTTTCCTTACTACGTCTTACTGCACCCCACATCCAGTAGATGATTTCAAAATAAATGTAGTATGAGATGGCGCAAACGCAAGCAGTCAGTCAACCGGATCTCTTCACTGCATGGTTAACGATATGGAGGGAAATGTGGGTGCTTATTTTCTGTTACGCACAAGCGATGACTCTAGGGGGTCTCGGGATTGAAAAGCAAAACCTTTCCCTCTTTAAAACACAAGTGTTGAACATTAACAAAACAAACATCAAGCAAGGCAAACACAGACACACATTTTTCACTTCACCCGATTTCCTGTGAAATACGGAAACATCTCAAATCAGCTGTTTTTAAGACTGAAAGCGACTATTTTCTGAGACATATCTGCTCTACACTTCCATGGGCCTCAGTTTCCACTCTCTTCTAAAAACTAAATAAGAACATTTTGATTCCAGTTATACTCACAGTGGTCTTTTTTCCTATCTTGGTAGGTAATCCTGTTAATGGGCACCTTTTTGGACAATCGGAACCATCAATTCCTGGAGATCCTGCACGCTCGTACACTCTCCTTAACCTGTCTGATCCACACCCAGAGAGAACTAACCATACGTCCCCTTTGGCAGCTTCCTCCCCCTCTCCTCCCCTCCCTCCAACCATCTCTTTGCCTCCTCCCTTTGCTGCAGCTAAGGTATTCACACTGCTCAAACCCCCCTGTTATATGTAGATGTTGACATCAGAATAACAAATAAAGTGGAGGAAACACACTTTTGCGTCGTACCCCAGAGTGATTTTTGGTTTTTAATACAATGCAACATCAAAGCCTGCAAGGTTTTTTGTGTGAGTGACAGACGCAGATCCCAGAGGCATGTGGGGTCTGCTCCTCTGCATATTCGAGGGGGGATTTAAGCCTCGCCTCCCCTCCCGTGTGAGTGTGTGTTGTGCTTTTGTGTCTGTGAGTGCCTGCGTGAACCAGTTCAGACTGTACAGCAACCATCATCCGTGGTGGTTCACATCACTCCACTGTGGTTGATGAGCCACAGAGGGTGTTTTTCTGGAGTTTGGAGCAGGGCACAGCTCCCTCTAATGGACACTGAGCAGGACCGCAGCACTTTCATCTTCACCTTCAGTTAAGAGGGAATCAAGCGGGGATTTCTGGTGAAAGACACTAAAGGCCATTGTTTTTTCCCTCTCCTCTTGTCCTTTGATTAATTAATCTTGCATTAGCATGTTTTCCTCATCACTCATCGCCTCCCCTCCTCACCTTGTCACATCACCATCTGTCTGCTTGCCCTCATTTGAAACCGTGACCTTTTGCTAAGTATTTGTGGGAGAATCTCCATTCGTTCATCAATCAGTTCAAGAATTCAAAAACATCTAAACAGAAAGAAGCTGTCTCCCTCTGAGCACTGGAATCTCTTCGGGTATATTTTCAAAGATCAGAAACGTGATGTAAAACCCCGGTTTGGGGTCTAAGTCCGGATCACAAACATATTTTACAAATAATGGATTAAAAGTGATGACGGTATAACTAACCTGCCGTTGTCCCGGCCAACGCCCCAGACCCGGATACTTGCTATTGGCTGAGAGTGAAGCACACTGCGGTCCATGGGGTCAACCAAGTTCAACATGTTATTTTCCAGTACCAGGTACATGTCCTTCCCCTGGGCACCAAGACACACACACACGGTCACAAAAAACAAACAAATCCTTCAGATTACATCCTTAAAAAAAAACAAAAAAAACATGCAGCCCTCATTTCCTGCATCTGGAGTCGTAGTAATAAAGGGGATGAGGTCATCAGAAACTTCATTTGCTTACTTATTAAACATTTTTGCCCACTGCATGTATCCAATCTATTTAATAAAGTCAGTGTGTGTGTGTTTGCTTAGGTGTGTGTGTTCTCTAGCTTAGAGGGCCTCTGAATAAATGATAAAACGCTAAAACGAGGGGGTGCAGGATAAAACATTACTGAAAGAGGGATGGAGCTCTTCCTCTGCTTTCTGTCACCTCACATTAGATAGAACCACTGCAGAGGGGAAAAGACTTTCTAACATTGCTCTACTTTCCTCTCTCTTCCTCCCCCTTCCACCTCTGGACATACATTTCAGCGGGCTGTTATTTACTTGTGCTGCCGTTTACTTTCCTCTACACTACACTTTAAAAAAAAAATCTAACTACTCAGCTTTCATTATAATTCAAGGTCTATGAATTTGCAATTTATATCCCAAAACCAAAACTAATTCTAGGTCATCCTCACCTCTCCCCAGATACCGACAGTGTCCCGGATGTCGTTTTTGCAGTATGACAGCTGTCGGATGCAGTTGTTGACAGCCACACTGCTTTTTCCGGGAGCCAAGTCTTCTTCAGCCATCTCCACCCAACCCAAAGAACGCACTGCAAAACACTAGAAGGCATGCACAACCATAAACATAAAAACGTGTCCTTCCCTCTGAGGGACACCTATACAAGCTTTACGCTTTCTCTTTAAATAATTATTTCAATTAATTAGTTTAATGGCCTTTCCTTGCATCAAAAATGTTAAAATGCTTTACTAAAATAAAAAAAACATTTTAAAATTGATTTTAATTCACATTCTTTAAATTGCAAACATTCTGAAGATGAGGCAGGTCAACATAACACAAAAGACCAAGCTCAGAGGCAGTTGGAGACTAAGACAGAAGAGAAAGTGTGCCTCTGCCCTCATCAAGTATTCATTTGCTTCATCTGTCCATTTAGAAAATATTCAGCAGACTATGTAGGTCACACTAACACAGAGGCAGAGACCAGCAGGACACAGTGTAAAGAAGTAACTACGAACTCCTGTAAAAAAAAAAGTGGCATCCCCAATCGAAGATGATGTTCCATCGGTCAATTTTATTCGGGGAAAAAAGTCAACTTTAAAGGCCACCAAAACAAAACAAAAAAGAGGCAAACAAATTCTGAAAGTCCTTATAGAAAACCATTCGTTTCTTTTAAATAAAGGTGAAAACTGCAGGTCAACCAAAGAATATCTTATATCGTGTGGACTCTGAGCTCAAAACAAATGTTTAGGAGGAAATGGCAGTTATTGCCCCTACATAGGTCACTCAAATTTTGGACAAATTTCTCATTCCATCCATTGAATAAAGGCATGTAGATGCCTTTTTTTATCTCCCCGGAATGAGCAAAGACAATTGGATACGATTAGGCTCCATCCTGATAATCAGAAGTCAGAGAAGTGACAAGTGAAAAGTGATGATATTCTGTCTGAGAATTCCTTTCCTCAAAAAAGATAAATGGGGAGAAAAGAAGCACAACGAAATAATAAAAGAAGCAACACATCATGACAAATGGGAAAGGCACTGAACCACGACTGAGTGATTCACAGCTTTTGCACTATGTAATTAGGCATCATGCCTGTGATTCTCCCAAAAGATGGTGATTTAATTCTATGTTTACAAAGTGTCACTGACATGATAAGATGTGAAGTGGGCTCTTTGGATTTGATTCAATTTAAAATATTTGAAATTATTTGGAACTCCTGCACTTGGAGGGAACAGATATTTCCAATCCAGACAGTGTAAAAGGCAGTTTACTGCCACATATCTGTCAGTGTTTTATCAGTCCAGAAGCCTGGCTGTAGGAATGTATTTTTGTCTTCAACACATCAGAATCAGAAATCACTTTATTGGCCAAATGTAGACAGGAATGTGACGTGGCATCCCACCGCAACAGGACAGTTTAATTAACAAATTTGAAAAAAATACATCTAAAAAAAGGTACATATGATATGTTGGGGTGCTTTTAGGTGTCTGTATCTTTAAGTGACTGTAGCAGTGGTTGGAGGATGGAGATGTCCTTATTTAAGATAAAGGTATTAATTATGGTATCGTGGTATTAATTAATCAATACATGAGGCTATAGATTTAACGATTCTAGCTAACCAGCACCAATAAGCCTGAGCCCCTAAAAGCTTAAATGTCTCTCTTGAATGTAGCACAGGAGGTTTTCAGGGACATTGTGGCTGATTTAATAAGCAGCAACACCGTCTTGTTGTATTACTAGGGGGCAGTGTCGCTCAGCTATCCTTTGACAACAGAAGAAAGCACAGACAGTCGCCATGATCTGCATAAAAACTCCACGCAACCCAAAACCACACCATAACACAAGAGTAACGACTATAATGCGCACTGTTTAAATGAAAGATTAGAGAAGGTTTAAACACAAGGCCAGAGAAACTACCAATGTGCAGAAGTAGACAGATTAAGGCAGCCACACATGTTTGGTACGGTTACGTCAAAGGAAATGCCAACAAATCTGCAAATCAATCTGAATGTTATGTGTAGACTGAAGGCTTTAAACCGCACCAAAACTCAGAAAAGGTGCCTCACCTTAGCCTCTGGGTCACTGTTGACACTGCTGGACTCATTTTCTTCCACAGCTGGACGGTTCCTGAAAAAAAAGGATATATTTGTATGCATAAGAGATGCCATCATTACTAAATTGTCTAACTTATCATTTCCATCGTTAAAGTATTTTCTCTCTGTGTGATTTCAGGCACTGGAATGCATCACACTGATTAAGGATGAGCCGATCTCAGCAGGTGAGCAGAGGAGGTCATATAACCTCCAATATATCAGGCAGGGATAAAAATAACTCACAGCTACTTACTTTAACACAAAGCGCCAGAGTGGGGAAAAGAAAGAAAAAAAAAAGATAGTTTTCTCAAGCCTCTTTCATATAATCCTATTCACGTATTTCACCTCAGTTTGAGAGATGCGTAACGAAGTGTGGCCCCCTCAAACTCCTTCAGACTGGGGTCAGGGTTCACCGTGGCTGCCTGCAGGTCCTGATGAAGACAAGTGACACTGTCAGGGTGTGAAATAACACCAAAATAAACAGTGCTCTTTGGGTCTAAAGACTCCTTTGTGATTCTTGTGTCATATTTGGTCTCTGCTCTGCTGGCATGGCAGCCTTTTGACTCTCACAAACAAGCACTCCACAATGCAAAGAGATGCAATTGGCTATCTAGTATTAATGCACGTTCTTTTAAAACTTCAAGTGATAGCAAATTGTTTAAAAGTATGATGTTCACTTTTTCCCCCACATGCCCAACTGGAATTTCCCCCCTCTCCCACACACACACACACACACACAGTTAAGGAGGGGAAAAATAACACACAAAAATAACAAAAAACAAACAAACCATGCTTACACAACAATGCTAATGCTGATGCTTGCACTTTTGGTGCAGCGAAAACATTGCCCCCCCTCAAAAAAAACATTCAAACATTTTTTTTTTTTTTTTACTCAAGGCTTATATGTCTTTTGGGTCACCAAAAACCAAGCATAAATATTTTTGATGCTAGCATACATCCAGTGTGGGTGGAGTGTCCTTCCTGGCTGAAGAAATGATGGTTATGCATTATGTGTGACAGGGCATGCTACAGGAAGAAGGAAAGTCAACACACATTAGGTACCCAAACACACACACGCTCATTCATATCTGCATCAGGAGGACAGAAAAGACAACATTATTATACTAAAGAAAGAGACAACCTGTTAAATGTGTAGTTGCAGCCAAATAACAGGCATATTCTGCCACTGCAAGCATCATAAAATGCAAAACGTTTATGTTTATGTCGAAGCATCAGCCACACATGCTTCTTGCCCCAGCGGTGGATTGTAGCACGTCATACACAGATGCAAACGCGTGAAGGATGGGTGAGGTTAGGCTGAGAACGAGGCTCGCTGACAGGGAGTGCTTTATACTTGCCTTCCACACTTCACTATCAATTTTCCCTCCGAATTCACTCCACACCTGTTTCTACGCACGGCGTTTGAACACAAACACAAATAGCGGCGGGTTGAGAATTGGGAGTCAAAGGGCGGGAGGGGGAGCAGGAGAGGAAACAGATAAAACAGGGTTGTTAACTAGCCAGCTTTCTCCACACGTGGAGGCTGCAGCAATTAGGAGCAAAACAGCAAAACGTGTCTAAAATGTCTTTGAACAGACCAAGGACAGTCTGCCAACTATTTGAATGTTCTCTCTGATTGTTTAGCTCTTATCAAACATTGACCTTAGCACAGACACAGTGACAAATTGAATGAATCTAACATCAAACCTTGTAACCCCAATAAGAAGGTGATATAGTACATTACTTTTTTCCTGCATGAAAAAGAAACTTAATTAAAAGGTGCTTTATGATTCAGTCCTCAATAAAGTCTCTGTCCAAATTTCTTCTAAATGCACTGTTTGATGACTAAACATAGGCAGCAATACAGTATAAAAAACCGGTAATAACAAGCATTTCTGATCTGCCCTGTAAGTAGACTTCAAAATCCATTTAAAGGACTAAAGGAGAAGAATGGGGAATGTTTGATTTTCCAACCTTGTCGTCCTCTTCCTCATGCTGTGAGCGGCATTCTTGATCCAGGATCCCCTGCAGAGACGTGGAACGAGGCTGTGGAGACAGAGGGGGAAAGGGACCTCATCTGTGATACTACGTCCTTGCTGAGGATTCAGAAAAAAAATATATACAGAGAATCCGCTGCTAATCCAACTGCCATTTTGGCTCTGGTGTCAGTAGCTACAGGCAGAGGTAAATGCGCCGCAATCTCACTGCTGCAACTTAATCTGTCAACAAGGGTCCATTCCCACCGGATCAATATTTTATCTACACATTGCTGCTCTCTATCAACCTCCTTTTCCCCTTCTCCACTTAAATCCATCACTATACCTGACTGACTGACTGACTGACTGTTGCATTGAGCTCATCTGCGGCTGGACTGGACAGTAATGACAATCATTACTCTTTAATGGCTTTAGACTTTTTGGGCTTATTCCTTAAAATCAACCACTAATGCTGTACCAGTACCGGAGAAACAAAAAACAACAGACATTTGAAACTTACAAAGTAGCAGCTGTTGACAAATCCACATGTGGGCAGCGTGGGTTCGTGAGTGGACAGAGGCTCCACCGAACTGTCAGAGGTGGTGCTGCCGGAGCGAGTCGATGCCCTAAAGAAGACTTCTGCTTGGCATGACTGTATGCATATGCAAACAGACACAAAGACACACCCACACACGGAAAGACAGTGATCAATAATGCTGCATTCGGCGCCTATTACCGTACTTGGCATACTCTGTTGTCGAATATTAGCTGACATTGACAGCTATTTGCGGTATCGAAGGGTTTTTAGAATGTGGCAAGTCATTTTTTCCCACTAGCTGGACTCCTGCAGGTCCATATGCTGCTATCTGCTTTCTCTCCGTTACAGCGGATAATAAGGAACCTCATCACTATTCCCAACATGTTGTAAAGGAAACACGGTGTCATTTCTGTATTATGCGCTGCCTCCAGCACTCTGCACAGCCATTCTGCATACGCCTCTCTCCCTTCCTCCCTCCTTCCCTCCCTCCCTCCCTTCCTCCTTCCCTCCCTTCCTCCTTCCCTCCCTTCCTACCATCGGAAAGCCCCCTGCTGTGTGTGTGTTTGTGTCAACAGAACAACTGCAGAGAAAGAAATCTGGATTAAATTGACCAAACATTCGCTCTTTGGTCCCCAACTCAGGAGGAATCTTACCAGGTGATAATATTTAGATTTCTAGCCCTACTGTGTGAAAGAAAATGTTTTCAAAATGCAAACATCACCTGTGTGGACAGTACAATGTGCATAATGTGGGTGCAAATTTATTTAGCACAGCAGCAGTTTAAAATATGTGAACTTTAGGGTGGGCACTGTCCAATGGTCCTTTTCCTCTTGTAGCTGCCCATCTCTAATTGACTCAGCTCAGGCCGCTTTCCATTACAAGTGAGTCCGTAAGAGCAAGACGGCCCGAAAATCTGAGCTGAGTAGGTACAACTGGGTGTGTGCTTTGATCACACTCAAGAAAAACAGACCAAGACTCGCCTCATGGTCAGGAGTGGGTGAGGGGCTGAGGGAGCCCAGGGAGTGTTTCCGTGGCGTCAAAGCGTCGTGATCCCCTAAGGCTGGTGACTCGGCCTGTCCAGGGGGAGGAGGATGGGTGGCGGGACGCTCCCACTGAGTGGTGCCTGTAGGAATGTGCCAGTAGTAGATACCGGCCATGTCTGTGATCTTCTTCCATCCTGGAGGGAGGTCCGGGTCCGTCTGGAATGACTGCTCACTCCAGATATCTGGTGGGGAATTAACACAAAGAAAACGTCAAGAAAGAAAAGAACAGATTTATTTCACTAAAAGTGTACAAATTCTACATTAAAATAAATGCATGTAAACAGGTGAGCAGTGACCATTATGTTAATCCAGCAGGACAGATTATCTTTCCCATCCCCTCCTAACTGATGTAGACATAAAAATGAATTGTACAAACATAATTATGTGCCTTGTGCCTACATTAAACAATGACTTTCTCACGTGTGCTCCCTTTTGTCGCTGTCAAATTAAACTTGAACAATATTGAGCAAGATCAACATCTGCTGCATCTGCGTCATCACAGCTGCAGCATGTGGCCAGGTTTCAATGTGCACGGTTACCAGCCAGAAATACTGATTTCATTTGTCAAAAACACCCACGCGCATACCGTGACCATTTGAAATGAAAGCCATTTCAAATAAAAGTCACCACTGTACACACAAACATGTGGCATAGCAGCCCATGATTTACTGACAAGGCACAAATGAAGACTTACTATTTATCCCCGGCACTTCTCACAGTGTTAACTGCTCAGAACTCGTGTGAGACATGTCAACAGACATGTAAAACCGGACAGACAAGGAGATTTTATTGACTTTATAAAATATTATAAATAATATGTGCTAAAGTAAAAACAAGGGGGAATGATGCTAAATTAATTTGAGTCTAAAACTTATACAAAGATATTTTTCTCTCTGAGTCTACGTGCAAATATTATTGAAAACGCTGACTAAAATGAGAGTGGTTTAAAATCAAAGCGTAATGTCGGCAGAGCGGCAACCATTTGTTGCATACTGTGTCCAATTTTGCGCTGCCATCTCCATTATTTCACATCAGTATATGAGCACATCTCCCATTTGTTGACATGACAACAAGAGACGACAGCAAGGCAGTGCCTGTGCTAATCTTGTCAGGAGGACTTTTTATTTTACAACTATACTGAAGAACGGTGGCCTATCTGAACATGCTTTGGAGGTCACTGAACGGGCAAGCACAAAGGACCATTCGCACTTTCAAGAAAAGAACTGCAGCAAGAAAATCATTTATCAGACAACTGGAAAAATCAGATATGAAATATTGTCAAGATAAGTAAAGTGAGAAATTGTATCCTGTATACAATAAGCCGTTACTGCTTAAGTTGTTTTTTCTGACCATATGAAGACTACTTTTGTAGTGTTTGTAGTTGCTCAAAGCCAAAGGTAATAGACTCATTTTACAGCCAGCTGATGTTTTTACAAGCCATCAGCACAAACGTGTTTCCTTCATCTCTAAGTTGTCCAACAAACTTGTTTTCTACTGTTACATCCAACAAAAACAGTCAACTATCTGCTGGAAATTTGGGACACACATAGCTAACCAATTCCCACTGACAGACTGAATGCATGGGCCATTTTGGTAACATAAAAACTGGGTTGATTGTGACCTCAAAGCACTTCGTAATGAGTCAAGAAGTTGTTTCTTCAAGCTGAAAGTCAACACAGGAAGTTGTTAATCTAACGGGGAGTTCTGGGTCAGTCGCTTTGTGGACTGCGACCTGAAATGATGTCGCCGATTGAAATGCCAAGATTCAATCAACATCGAAATGTTGAACCGGGGCCGTCACTTGTAAAATGGTGGTTGAGTTATTGATTTTCAGCAAGTCAGACAATTATAGCACAGCGACTGTTCAAAGGTCAGCTGTGAGCTTTAATTTGCGTTAAATGCCAGACATCAGCTTTCAATATCCTGCACGGCTGTCTGGGATGTCATCCGGGCCAGAAGCCGCGAGAGGCATCCAAACTGAAACTCTGAAAATGTATTCTCCGGAGAAGGTTACGACGCTCAGGTTAAGTTGTCGTGGTGATCTAGCCCGGTTTATGAAGAGCGAGCCTTGTCATACTGAAAACTGACTTTCAGCTCAACTCTGCTCACTAATCCACCAAATCCCTTTCATAGAACAGCACTCTGCTTAAACCTAATTTTGCATTGTTTCTTCTTCATTGCTCTGCGGGTTCCAGAAAGCAATGAGCTTTTTTCACCCCCTCTGCCGAAGCACAGCCATTTTGTTCGAGTGAGGAAGACAAAAGAGTTTAGGCGAGCCAGTCACAATCATCTCAACACAGCTGAGGATAATTAAAAAAACTAAACAGATAGTTATCTCCTAGTGTCAGCTAAAAAAAGAAAAGAAAAAACAACAGCATTCAGTGCAGCTCTACCGATTGTCAAGACTCTCTGCTGAAGTGCTAAACAATCTGTGCTATGGTTCCTGATCCACGATGAAAAGGAAAAGCTGGCACCATTCATGCATCGCATTTTTAGAAATCTAGACAGACAAGGCCTTTAAGGGAACTCTATGAAATGTGTGCGCAGCTACCTGGAACAGAATGACATCATGCAAAAAACTTCTAGACTGAAAAATGGTATTGAGCATTTACTTTTTTCCTGGGCGCTGTTTAGATAAGTTTGATCTTCAAGTATCATGAGAAGTGCGGTGTGTTTATCACCTAACGGCATGCAGGCAGCACATACTTGTAGAGCAATAATTTCTTTGCCTACAGGAATCATGGCTGTTCAGCTGCCCTGAAGAAGCACACACAAATCTCTTACAGAGATGGAATCAGAGTTTATCAAAGCATCTTCACTCCATTGTGTGCTGAACATCGTCTCACATAAACACTGCAGCTTCCCAGAGGTCAAGCCACTACCGGCAAAAACACACACACACGCACACACACTATTGACAGGATCTTTGTGTGAAGGTGGTGTGGCAAAGCCAGAGGTTGCAAAAGATGATGTTAAACTACACCGAGGGTAGTGGCGAAACTCATCAAAGGTAATCCGAGCTTTGGGGGACTGATCAGCTGAGCTGATTCTGTGTGTTTGTGTGTGTACTTTTGTGTGCATGATGGCTAGTTCTTGAACTGCTGACCGTGCTGATGAAACATGGGCCTGTTGCCATGAAAGAAGGCCATATGTCATCATGATGACTGAACTGGTTCAGATTGAGATGAAACTGAGATGAAACTGAGACGCACGCACGCACACACACACACACACACACACACTCACACACACACAAACACGCTGACACACAAACACATACTGAGACGGGTCATTAAGACTTCAGTCAGGTGTGATTACAGGAAGAGCCTAAACTTGCCAAGCTGTGCACCTACATTCTAAACCAACTGAGACCCCAAGACTGCTTGGGAACAAGGAGCCGTGAAGCTGTACCTTCTGGGAATTGAAGTATTTTATGAGCAGAGAGGAAAGAAAAATAGGTCAGAGCAATTAAAGCCAAGTCTGAGAGAAGCTGCTGGTCTCTGCGGTGAGCGCGAAGAAAGATGGTGACACGGAATTTTTCCCAGTGTGAGATGAATAAGAGAAATAGATTCAGGCATGTGTTTGCATGAGAGAGACACCGACAGGGAAAGATATTGAGGAGCTGTTATGATGCTGTGGCTGGCATGGTTTAAGGGCTGTGTCATGAATCCAAAATAGCAGCATCACCCTCTGCGAGCCGCGTGGCGACTAATCAACTGTAATAAAAGACTTTGCATGCGGGCGCTGGTAGTGGCTGCTGAAAATGTGACACACTGGAGTTATTCAGCTGTTAGCCTGGGAGTGCGTCGGTTAGCATGCAGCTCCACGCCAGAATACAGTTAAGCGGCGGGGGAGGGGAGAGGAGGGCTGTGCGCTTCGGGGGCAAAACACACATGCACACACACACGCACGCACATGCTCCCCCTGGCAGCACCAACACAGGCAAGCATGACGAGACAAATACTCAGAAAACAGGCAGACCAACGCGAAGAAATACAGCATGCACGGACCAAAGATTCAAACAGCCGATCATCACAGAGATAAAACTTCACATCCATGTTGGAAGAGACGCACGAGCGCAGACGAACACAATTTTGCACTCAAACTCTCTAAGCCAGCAGAGCAGCATCCAGCCGAGTCCAGCAAATGTACCTACCCTCGTAATTGACAATCACAATAGCCAGCATATAGTCTTTGCCCAGCATCATAGTTAGCTAGCTGCCTCTCAGACAGCAAAACCTGCTGCTGTAGTCAAACAGAGAACCCCAGACAGATGGAAAGAGAGAGAGGGAGAGGAGAAGCAGGGGGACACCACAAAAAAGGGGTGAGGAGAATGAGGAGAAGGAGCGGAGAGTGGGGAAGGTGGTGATTGAAGGCGGGGTGGGGGGGGGGGGGGGGGGGGGGGGTATTTAGACTCAAGCAGGCAGAGCATGAGAGAAAACGCGATGGGAAAAGGCGACCTGAAGCGACGTGGAGAAACAGTTTTTGAGGGGAGAGTTGGAAGTGAGGATGGACAGACAAAGAGAGGGAAATTAAGTCACAAACATAAAAGGAGGAGAGAGGCAGAAGAGAGGCTGTGTATCCCCTGCAGCCCAGCTCGGTCTGCCTTTGTTTTCGGTCCTTTTTATCTGGAGCAACAGCTCACCTAAACCCTGTCCTCCTTCTGCTGAACTCCAAAAATAAATGCACCTTAGAATCTCAACAAATTGATACTGACGTCCTTAATTAAATGTTGAGCACTTTTTCTCAGTTTGCCAGCCCCCATTTGATTTTCTAACAACATGGAGATTGTTCACTCATCATAACCTTCCTGCTTCTAAAGCAGAGAGGAAGGGAGAGAAAAACTAGAGAGGAAACAGATAAGCAATGAACTGAATGACTTTATCTAATCCTACATGGAAACATTTGTCCTCCCTTTTGCAGGGGAGCACGTGTGTGAGATTGTCTGTGTTTAGGTCTTGACTCCTCTGTGTGAGAGCGGTGTCATATTGGCCCTCCGACTCATGGCATCCCGAGAAAAACCTGACGCATAAGAGAGAGCGACAGACAAACAAGCGTCTTTTACCCTCATCTGCAAGCGCGCGAGGCTCCGCTGGAGCGTGCATGATTCAAATGTCATCACCGTTGTGTCTGGATTGTGCGAGGCACCCTGACAATTTGTTGTGACCACGTGCATGCTGGCTTCTTTCTGTGAGCACGCACACGGATTAGACCCTTCTGTAAATGTCGACAAACCATGACATTTACCAGATGGATCTTGCTCGACTTTACAATGATGTGTTTAAAGACTAAAGTTTAAAATCCAATGAATACAATACAACACATCAAAATTGAATCCAAAATTTCTGACAGCAAAATAGCCAAATACACAAAAAGCCCAGGAATCCCTTCTGCTGAATACATTTGCAGAGAAATCAAAAGCACAGATGCTTAAGTGGAGAGAAAGAAACCGAGTCATCGGAGAGCTATGAGGAGGAGGGGGAGAAGCAGCACTGATGCTCAGGGAAAAAAAAAAAAAAAGAAGACGAAGAAGAGCACTACATCTGCTGCAGACAGACTGGTTTACAGCTGTGTCACAGGTCAAGGCTACTGTGCCCCAGGAGATGGAAGTATTTCATATGTCCTACACCGAAGCACAAGGTAGAGTTTTAACAGCCCAATTAATCTTCAGGGCCTGAATTTTACATAATGCTGACATCGAAACAAAGGGACTTAATCAGATCTTCTGCAGACACAAGCAACAAGCCAGAAAAAAAAGTGAGGCCTGAAAGAAGAGCAGAATTTTTAGGAAGCACCAAATAAATGGATATGAAATGCAGTCGACCATCTGAACATTTATTTCTCACAGGTAGTACCTGTTTGGTGAGCAGTGTGCACAATAGACGCTGCTATTTTCTTTGTAGTAGCTCAAAAAGAAAAAAAAAGAAGCTATACCATTGGGAAAGAGCAAATCTTCACACAGCATCACTTCCCTACTCTTCATCTTAAGAGATTCTCCACACAAAAGCGCCACATAGGAGGATCCCAATGATCTTTTCTTTTGAAAAATTAAATCCCTTGCTCGGAGGGTCGAGTGAGAGCGAAAGCAGGCTGCTTACCGCCTTGACCCAGGTGGAGCGGACTTGATATATAACACTAGGAGCACAGGCAAAGAAGCAGGTGCACATTTTGCACATGTATGCATCCATAAAATCCACTTTGTTGAGCCGTCTCAAGAATAGCGTGCGAGCCTTTATTTAAGCAACAGATTTCGTACTCGCCCGTGGTTGGCTAACACACGCAGGCATGCACAGGACGCAGCCTACAAGACTTGCTAGCCACCAAAAATGCTACAAGGTCACTTCCTGTCCCAGTGGAGATTCTGGGAGATCCACGGAGGGCTGGAGGGGTTTGTTATTTTGTCTCAGCAAGGCCTGACTTTTGTGAATGCCCCCTCGTTTTCTCTCACACACACACACAAACACATTGTCACCCTATATGGGAACAGTCCGGGAGCTGAGAGGACAGAGAAACCACAAGATAACAAACAAGGAAGTAGAGTTTTGGTGACACGCAAACTCTCTCACAAGGAGTTCGCCAAACACTAGCAAATAAGGAGGTTGAGGCTTATTAGAAAAATTGTCTGAGTGCGTGTGTGTGTGAGAGAGAGTTGGAGAGAGAGAACGTACCTGTCTCCTCAGGGGAGTTGCTCTCCTGTGAAAGGGTTGTCCAACTCAACTCCTCATCACTGGGATTCAGATTCTGGATGCGGTTCAAAGCACAGTCCGTCTTTGCGCCAGTCCTTCTGTCCTTCTTCGTCTCGGGGGAGGAGGAAGAAGAGGAGGGGCAGGAGACTACAGAGAGCAGGTGGGCGTCCTCTGGACTGTGTTGCCTTTGTGGACAAGGAGGGGGCGGCACTCCCGAGTTCTTGACTGATTGGAGGAGTTTGATATTGGGGTGGAGGTCAGAGATGAGTGTGAGGCCTGGAAGGTTTACGGGCGATTCACCCTTCAGCGTCAGCAAAGGCTTCTTCTCCCCGTCCTCTTCCTCCTCCACCCCGTCGTCCTCCTCGATTTTCATCTTTGACATGATTTCCTTCTCAGACAGGATGCTGATGTCGTCAGTCTCCTCCGCCTCCACATTCAAGTCAAAGTCTAACTCTGAGGTGCTGCTGTTCAGTTTCAGCTTCACCGTGCAGTTGATGTTACAGTCCATGTCTGACTCGGACTTCTGCTCCGTCTCGGCGTCGCTGGCCGAATGGGGGTGCAGTTCATCCTCCATCTGGAAGACGTCGTCCTCTCGGTCGTTGTTGGTGAAAGCGGGACTGACCTCTTCCCCCACCGTGTTGACGTTGACGTCGTCGGCTGAATCTTCCGGGCTGCCCTCGAGGTCCACAGAGTCCGGGCCGGTCGTGTTTTTGTTGTGGTCCTGGCCAGCTTTACGCAGCTGGTTAGCCCCATTTTTGGCGAGTTTGGGATTGTTGGGCGTCGCGGACTGCGTCGGGGACAGGGACGGCGACGATGAGGGGGGCGCCGCTTCTCCGAGGCCCATGGCGGCCTGGATGCTTGTGAGGGCGTACTTTTTGCGACACTTGGGAGGCGTTGCCGAGCCCTGTTTGATGACGTCGCTGCTGAGAAGCTGGTTGTGTGAGGAGCGGAGGCTGAGTGAGGTGGGGGGCGTGGCAGCAGGGCCGTTACGATTGGTCACATCCACTGACATCATTGTGCCAAAAGACAGAAGATCTATAGTAGGAAGACATTGAAAAGATTCAGCCTACACCTCGGTAAGATGCAGTGAGTTCACACACAATCGATTCAACAGCAACACTGAGTGCTTTTTTGTTAATCCCTAATTCAGTATATTCATGAGCCTCTCAGCAAAGCTGAGTAGCAACTCCACAAAAGCAGCATCCTGCACAAATTGGGCCCATGGCTATAAAGTATTTGGTCACAGTCTGGCCAGAACTGCACACATGTGCACATATGCAATTAAACAGATTGTTAAAATGAAAATAAATAAATGCAATAAGCATTACTCACAGACAAGTTCTAAACCTCTTTACTGTTCTAAAGAAAACTGCAAAGAGGTTTAAATTATTATTGATCGGTGTTCATATATAAATGGAAATAAAAAAACTACAACACACTATCAGAGATTGTATGATTTTAACAAGCTTCAAAGTCAATATTTGAATATCTGAACCCTCTTTATTTGGAGCGTACTGGAAATATCTTTCAACTGTCTTCAGGAATAGCTCTCTCTGGCTGCTGCAAATGAATAGCAGAGTATTTTGCCCTTATGTGGAATTTTTTTCCCCTGCTTCAATGAGTCATAGGCTAGGTCTAAGCTGGCTTCCCAAATTTAAAAAGACATCATTCTGAGAAAGTACAAAAGATGAGATAAGATTGGTTTAATTGTAATCACGACTGGGCACAAACAACATCTTCGAATCACTTTGGCACATGTATGTGTGCATATATCTTATACCTGGAGGGGGATCAGTCATAGACCAGGACAGGCCACAGCTCAGAGGTCAGGAGACTCAGCCGCAGATCTGAACAGCAGGAGGGGAAATCAAGATGGTAAAAGAATTATCAGGGAGAATGAAAAGTACCCCGAGTGCTTCTTGGTTGGCCTTCAGAGACCACATTCATCCATCTGAAACCTAACTACAGTTGGTTACCATGGAAACAGAATAACTGCGAGGCACAGAGGCTACATCAAACAACAGAAATCAATATGACAAAAACAGACACTAAATTAAACACGGAGGAATGATCAAAGGAGCCATCAGTTAACACTACCCACAGTTTGTTAGGTATACATTTGTTCTGTGTACCGTCCCCTCATGCACACTTATTTAAGCAACTTAATACCAAATAAAAAAAAGGTAAACAAGGCAGGATTTTCTGAATATGTCCAAGAGGATTTCAGAAAACTGTTGAACAGAACAAACTCATTGATACAACTGTAGTGACTGTGGTCAGATTTTAAAAACACACATAAAAAAGGCTTGAATGTGGCTGATTCAGAAAAGATTAGATTTAGATATGTTGGAAAAAGGGAATTCTGTTTAGTAAAAATCTTAGAGAGCTAACTTAGAATTTGTTAATGTTGTTAAACTACAAAATAAAAAACTACAAAATACCCTCCAAATCCATCTTAATGCCATCCTAACAGTATGTCTGTCCTGCATCTGTGCTCACTGGACCACAACTGCAATCTTAGCAATGAGAGGAGAGCCAGGCTTCATTTCTTTGACTAAAAAGCTTTTTTTTTCACTAAAAAGAACATAAAGCCATTTTGAAGATTTGCAGCAAAATTTTCCCTTTTATAAGACTATTTTTTATATGGAAAACAAGACTGCTTTGGAAAAAAGGGGGGGAGTCAATTTACAATTGGCACTAACCTGAGAACTAAGGATTGTGGGATACACCGGGATAAAGCAGGTCCATACTGGTAGTCGGTGGAGTTTCTAACGTCCAATCGTGAGGACCTCACTGAAACAGCAGTATCCTGAGGGAGAAGCAAACATAAAACAGGATTAATGACAGAGAATGAGGGAGGGAAAGAGCCACAAAAGACATGTGAGGGACAAATAGAGGCATTAATTATTCACGACCTCGGTCAAACACTAACACTCAGCGTGGGTGTGTGTTTGGACATATACCTTAAAAATGAAGGGGCATACGGTTCATTTTGTACAGAGCTCATATTTCTTTGTTTCATGGAGTTGTGCCAACCATGTGCTGACTGGAACTATCATAAACTTAATGCCACGGGAGACTAGTAAAACTCCCCTTCCACTGCTTTCAAACAACACACTTATACACAGATTGATGCATAATGCAGTTAAGAGTCATGGACAGTTCTCACCAACACTCTGAGAAGTGCAGAGAAACATGCAGAGTGTAGTCAGGCGGCGCCATAAAATATCACTTATCCCTGGAGGAGTGGCTGGGAAAGCTCTTGGAATGACTGAAGCATGACATTTTTGGAGAAGACAAAAAAAAAAAAAAGCTAAGAAACATGTACATTCTGGTAAAAATAAAAAATCCTTTCTGAATATATTAACGGAAGCATGTTCCCTTATCAGAGTGCTTTTCCTTTTAAAATAATTAAAACATTAATATAAATAGTTTTATATGGAGGTTATATATATATACATATATATATATATAAATAAAATACATTTTTAGAGGACATATGTATATCTTCTCCAAACTTTGTCCAGATCTGAGCTTTGGCAAAAGATCTAAAAGGCTAAATACAATGTAAATCCCATTATAGACTTTGTTTTGCTGTCTTGCGTAGTTTTCCACACATATACATTAGATAAACCAATGACTACAGTTAAGTGAGGCTGACATCTGTAATCATCTAATACCAAGGCAAAACTGTTCCCTGACTTAAACATCTGCTTTGCATGGCAAAAAAGCTCCACGTTACGCCAACTGCAGTGAAAGCGTAAAACGTCTGAGGGAGCAGCAGCTGTGTAATTCTGAGCAGCTGTGACAACAGGATTTTTTTTCTTTGGCATTAAAGCTGATGCAGGTAAGACCGAGCTGGATCAGTGGTTGTGATGGAGCCTTAACCGTGTCAGGCTTTAAGATGTAAACCTGTACACGCCTGTGGTGGCTATGCCTCTTCGGAAAGACTCTTTGAGAAAGGCAATATAAGTATAACACTCATTACTCTGCAGCTTAAAGGGTACAGAGATGACTTGATATACATATAAGAAAACACACATATATCATCAAGAGCTGAAATGTTTGCACAAAGACACCAACTAAAATGCTGCTTTCCCTGCATTAAAATTACACGGCACGCTTGGCTCCTTGAACCTTGCTGTTACAAGCCTGCATACCAGAGAATACGCTTAACTTTTTGTGCGTGAGAAAAAAGTTCTTGTATAACAGAGCTGCGCGCACAGTGTGTATGTATTATTTCCCCCGGAAACGTTCCTGCTGACTTGGCTTGAAAGAATGGATTTATTACAAAAATATAACAGTGCTTCACCAAGATACACTCCTCCTCCCCCGACACACACACATGGTTTATGTCCATACAGACATCTGGCCTAATCAAGAAATAAGAAAAGGGGCGGAGGGGTTTTGTTAGCTCAACCGTAGTCTTGTACCAGCCATGCAACACTTGACATCATCTGGGTGAAATTAATATACTTCAGAAAATTGCCCCTGTTGCCATGAGAAGCATTTCCAACTTTCCCCAGATACGCTATGAGATCTGTAAACACGCTTTGATGTGGGAATTCATTGGACTTGGCCTTCCCCTTTTTAGGGCCCACAAAGTGTGCTGGAGCAGTGACCAAAACACACAAAAAAAAAAAAAGAAGTCCCTCCAACTCGCATAAAAACCAAAACAAAACAAGGGAAAATTCCCTTTCTGGGTGGAGCTACAGATAGAGCTCTGTGGCAGGCACAGCAAGACTTCAACTTTTTAACCCAAACTGGGATCTGGTTTATGGCTTCCACTTGTTTGGGACGAGTGAGCGTAAAGCATCTTTTGAGTCTCTGGAGTCTGCTGCTCCAGATGAGGGTGTCTAAGCGTAATTACAGAGCTCCGGCAGTGACACAGGAACTCGCATGCAGAAACTAGTGAAGCAAGCGGGACCTTCTCAACGACGTAAACAGTTTAATGCGGTGGGAAGCAGGAAAAAAGAAATGCAGTGATGAAATGACGCTGAGCGAGTGCTCAGCGGGCCTCCATCGCTGGGGGCTGGGAAATAAGATCTACATTGTGTCACGCAGTATGCAGTGACCTTCGACATCTGGCCAGCGGCTCCTGGCTGTGCGGCCTGCGTTAGCGCCGCTCGTGTGTGTGTGCGACGCGTCATGTGCTGGGAAACCTCGGCCCGACTGGATTGACGGTAGCAGCTGCAAACACTCCATCCATGGGTTTTTTTTTTCTTTTTTTCTTAACATGGATGTGTAACCGTAGCGATTCACCAGATTCGGAGTCGAGCGTGGAGGGGAGGACGTGTTGCACTCATATGCCAAATGGATGCCAGCCAACAGTTTGATAGGCCCCTCGCTGCTCATTTCCTTTTCTCTGCCATTCTTGTTCCCACGTGACCCTTACCTATTTCTTTCATCCCGTTTCCTTGCCTCGTCTTTTCTTCCCGCCACAGCATTCATCATCTCCCTCTCCCCCCGTGCCTTTTCTTTTGTCTAGAAGAAAACTGCTGTCTTTTCTCATTAAAAGTAAAGAAGGTCTGTAAAGTCTCATAAAACTACTTGTTTCCCTCAACTCCTCTGATTTACAGCCTCGCCCCACCACCCCTTCCTGCTCTCCCCCCCCCCCCACAGCTCTTGAAGACCCCATCTGTTACAAAAAAAAACAAAAAACACGAGACAAAAAAAGCAACACCACCATGGAAAGACGTCGGACAATCTATAAATCGTGCAGAAAAGCAAAGCGCAGCTTGGTGTTTTTCTAACATTTGGATTAGGATACAAGTGTGGAAGCCAGCTGCACAATGGCAGGCACCCTTTCCAAACCTTTCTTGGCTTTGTTTTTGCTGGCTGGAGAAGACACAAAAGCCATAATTTACAACAAAAAAAAAGAAAAAAAAAGACTTCCACTACATGCTAACAACACTGCTAGCAGAATGCCATGCAGCTGCAGCTGGTCAGGTTCTTTTCCTTCCAGCCATCTCAGTACAGAAGTGCTATACAATCTATAATGATGACAAAAATGTTATTTAAACTTCTGCCACAGATTCAAACCAAAGTGGTCCAGCATTACCACAGTGGCTCTGTGCATTAATGAGAATTGATTTCAAGCTCTATTGTTGGATAATAAAACTGAGAAAGGCTCAGAAGGAGCCAGCATTGTAGACTTATTCTATAAGCTGGTCTGTTCGTTTTAAACCCACGGCTGCAGTTTTAAACATAGTTGCATTAATTTAAAAGAAGCAATTTTCAAACGTGCACCCAGATTGTGTTGATTAATTTTAAAAAAAAAGAAATTAAAGAAATATATACAAGATGATTATATATGGGATCTCAACCTGTAATAAAGAGATTTTTTTCTATGAGAAGCTCATTTATTGTTCTCTTTTTCTCCATATTTGTATTTCAAGTCAGGGTCCTTTGAGTTAATCAAACAGTGTATTTTTAATCAAATCAGTGCTTCAGTCAGAGAAGTCAATCACAGATGAGTCGCTAATCAGAACTATGCAAAATTGCAAGAAAACCATTTACCAGTTCGATCCGGTGAGCACTGGACACTGTATTTTCTGAGCCTAGCATGAGTGTGTATGTGCCTGTGTGTGGCGTGCTTCCATGAAAACAAAAGAAGACGCTGGGAAAAAGAACAGCCATCCCGAAGCAGGCAGCAGAGTTTCAGCGGAAGCATTGAGGAAGAAGGGTTGGTGGGGGCTTCCTTAAGTTGTCAATAGCGGGAAATAACAGAGACAAAGTGACACCCTAAATGAGACTTCAGCCTAAACAAGCCTGTTGTGTATAGACAAACACAAATGCTCACACTCAGGCATTCCTTATGAAGTAAAAAAAAGAACAAACTGTAAAGTGTTGGTGGTGCAGAGACAGAAATAGCTCCACTATAATTCCACTTGGGGAGTGAGGGTTTAAAGTATGCTTCAGGTCTTACAGCATCCACATTGTGTGTGTGAATGAATGAATGTCTTCATGTACACACACGGCTAACGATACCGTTTACCGCTGTTGTGGTTTCTGTTGTGGTTTCTCCTGGTGGAAAATATAGGGGGAGAAAGAAAAAAAAAAAAGACCACCAAAGAAAGGAAAAGAGTGAGGAATTTCAGGGTGTGCCAAAGAATCTCCGGCATGTCTGGGTGGGTGAGGGCGACTGGGGGCAAAAAAACCAAAAGGGGTGCAGGACACACAAAGGCTGAACACACACCTGGCTCCGGGCTGACCGCTGGAGGGTTCAAGTGTGTACGGAAACTTGACCGATTAGCTCTGAACAAACAGAGGAGTGTAAATAAAACATAAAGGGAGTCGAAACAATTATGTATTGGCTGTGACAGAACACTCAAAGAGCTTCAAGTTACGACAATCTCCACACTTTGAGACCAAGAGCACGGAGCGGGGCGTTCTAGGAGCTTCAGCAAACAATCATTAATCTCCTGACCAGCTGAAATCAGTCACCCATGGGTAAAGGAGGTGAAAGTGAGTCCATTTTATTTTCATAACGCACTTAAATGATTTCTTTGTGCCATGACAGTCTCTGAAATCCTCTGACGTAGGGGGGAGGAAATAAAGCAGCAGAGCCAGGACACGACTTCCTGGATTTGGAACACTTGGGACCATGTGCGCTGTAACCCCTCCCCCACTCCTTTACGCTTCCCAACCCCACCTCTCCCACCCTTCTGCCTGACCCTGCCTCTTTCCTGTGGTGGATAAGGCCCACCGACCACACAGGCGAGGTTCTGAGTGGGGGGGGGGGTGCTCGCCGTGCCATCTAACAGAGAAGCAGAGGAGTCGGCCGGGCACCCAGAGCCCCCAGCCGCAGC